TTTTGGAGTAAATGCAGATAACTTATCTGCAGTAACTACAAAAATAGTTTTCTAAAAATTTATGCTCGGGAAAGTTTTTTATTTTTTGCTACCAAAAGTACCATTATAAGTTTTCCTACAATGCTTTCCCAGGTATTTTAATATAATCTGCGTACCAAACGCGCTCTAAAGTTAAAATCAAATCTAGGAATCTAACTACTTATGGTGTTCATATTTAAGGGAAGGATCCAGTTATAATTTATTTTTATTTTTTATAAATTACACTAAGTATAATTGGTCATACACTCTTGATTAGAGTATAACTGGTCAGACATAGTGTAGTTTGTAAATATAACATTCCCCTCATATTTAATATGTACTAATACATAAATCCCATGTGGTTTTAAACTTCAGTGTTTAGGGAAAGTTTTGGGTGCATCAAATGTAAGTATATCCTTATCTAATAGGGAAAGTTTTGGGTGCATCAAATGTAAGTATATCCTTATCTAATAGGGAAAGTTTTTGGGATTTAGTGGAAATAATAAAGAAAAATAAGGATATAAATAGAAAAATAATTTTCTTATTTTAAAAAAGATGTATTGAAATATTTTCCCTAATTCTAACTCTCAAAATAGATTAAAGGTAAATGCTCTTATGCACGCACACATTGTTTTGGGAAGAAAAAATGTGTGTCGAACATTGCAGCCAATATTTTTTGACACGCGGTAAATGCTTCGACACGCTTTCGACATAGGGTCAATATTTTCTAACACATTTTTTTATATCCAATTGTTATTTTATTTTATCTTTTTAACTAAACATGAAAACTTTATTTACAAATCAAATATTTTATGTTATAAAATTTTACTTGAAAAATTAACAAGGCATGAAAAATTATTTTTTCTTTATATTTATGTTATAGAATTTGAATATTTGATTGATCATATGACTTATTATGAGCTGTTATATGTATTAAATATAAATTATGTTATAAAAAAATCAAAAATACTCCATGTTTAACCCGACTAGTGAGTGTCGGGTGGAGGGAATCCTTGTACGCAGCCTTACCGTTGTATAATTGCAAAAGAGTTCACTACTAAAAAAGTATGAATTAGGGACGAAATTTAGAGAAGGAAAATATTCCGTCCCAAATTGGGACGGCTTTAGAGACAAAAAAATCATTTCGTTCCTATTTGGGACAAAATTAGCTATGAAATAAGTTCTGTCTCTAATAGGGACAGATTTTGAGATGAAAAAATATTTTGTCCCTATTAGGGATGGATTTTGAGATGAAAAAATATTCTGTTCCTATTAGGGATGGAATTAGGGACAAAAAACTTTCAATTTTTGAAATCTGTTTCTAATTCTGTCCCTAATAGGGACGGAATATTGTTCGTCCCAGCTCGGGATAGGATTAGGATATTGTTTCGAAAATCTGTTCCAAAATTCGTCCCTAACAGGGACGAAAAATATTTCGTCCCTACTAGGGACGGAAAACGTTCTGTCCCTAATAGGGATGGAAAAAAATCTGTCTCTAATAGGGATGAAAAACTGAACAATCCATCCTTAACAGGGATAAAAAACGAAAAATAATTTGTCCCAAATTGGGAAAGATGTAGGGACTAAAATTATATTTAAATGTTATTGCTACATTATCTACATTGGATATTTCTATTAAAAAAATAACAATACGTGATTTATGTGGGGAGAAATATGTCAAGGATGGTTAATCTAACTTGTTGTGACAACTAGAAAAGTATTGATAAAAGACGAAAAAAATATTTTTAATATGAATGGATTTGGAGATGAAATCTCGATCACTCGCCAATAGAAAATATTGATAAACTCATTGGTTATCATATTTTATCCAATGTCAAGAGTCCTCACAGCTCGAGTCCAACACACAGCAGATCACAATCTGATTCAGGACCAGCAAGTGTATCAACATACATAACTCAAAAGCATTAACATAAAGACTACATTCTCCTTTAACGATTTACGTCTTAAGGCTTCCAACAAAGCCACAAGCCCTTAATCACATGATTCTGACTTAGTCCATTAATTACAGAAGTTCAACTTCATCAATCTAGGGTCCACAAACCCCCAATAGCCTACTGTACACACAGCACACCTACTGTTCTACGAAATCTCAGAATATCCGGATATTCCACGGGAACATATCCGAATATCTCACTGTCCATATCCGGATATGCAATATCCGGATATCCAGATTCCCATATCCGGATATCACATATCCGGATATTTCTCGGGCAGATATCCGGATATTTCACGACAGAATGCAGAAACTGCATTTCGTGAAGATATCCTTCAAAGGTTGGGTTTTTACCGATTTTAAACACTTAAACATGCATTTATAGGTGTGTTAAGCATTACCCAACAACAAGTTATCATCTTTTAGCCTTAACATGCATCAAGCTTCCATTTTTAAGCATTAAAACTCAAGTTAAAGGTTGGTGATCATACCACAACTCAAAAACAGAGGATGAAGATGCTCTTGGAGCTCACCAACAACCCCTCAACTACTGACCACACAGGGTGTGCGAAAATGGAAGACAAGCAAGGCTCTTCCTCACCAAAGGTGGCTCCTTGGACCTCAAAAATGAAGCACAAGGTTCACTCACTCCACCAACCCAAAGTCAGCCCCCAACACTCCCTCAAGCTGACCTCCTTACTCAGAAACAGCACCACAAACCCCTTCCCAAAGGTGACTCTCCCTCACACAAGTGTTTAAGAGAAGCTTTCAAGGAAGAGAAAGCCTCAAAGCTCAAGAAATGGTGAAGAAAGGGATGAAACAGTGACACAATCAGACTAGCCACCAAAACCCACGAAGAAGAGGCAGTTTTCTAGGGCACTGTGCTATTAGTAAGTGTATATATAGCCACTTAACAATTAAACACGCAGTATTAGCTTTAATTACTACGCTTAGCATTTTAATCCCAAACTTTGGATTCTTAACCTACTCAGTTTACAAGAATTATCATACTTTTATTATATTTTTCTGTGCACCTTTCCGGTACACGCTTTTCATAGCCAGTATCAGTTTCTGGCACCAGTTCTCATTATTTGGACTTGAAACTCGTTTTACAAGTCCTATATATTATTCTAGTAATTATCATGCACTTACATTAATTTTTCGGGATACTTTTTCGGTACGCATTTATACCGACTAGCAGAACCGGTATCTGCACTTTTCTTCCGAAAAGCGACTTTCAGCATTCTTAATCACTTACCATAATTATTAAAGCCTCTTAATAATTATTAGGGTCAATTGTGGAATCATTTCCTAATTTTGCAATATTAATTAATTAAATACCTTAATTAACGGTGCAGGTTCTTACACATTCCATGCATAATTCATACTGGGAACGCAACGTTTTATTCTTTGTTTATATTTATATTATTGTTTTGATTATGGTATTAAAGTTGTTAATTATGCTATATACTGTAATTTAATTATACATCGTAACACAGGTTCATGGCGCATGAGGTGATTAATCCAGGTCCTGAAGAATATAGTGTGTTGAGGTTGGATGTGCAAGAAACACATGTGTCCCAGGCACTATGGAGTTCGGGATTGAAGAGGGTTCTAAAAGTTTGTAGAGCAACACAGGGGAGTGAAGCAGATCTGCATGATCCGGATAACATTCTGGAGCCCGTGGCAGAGCACCTTAGGCGTGCAGGATTTTATCATGTCGCGCGCATGCGACATTTGCCGGTTAGTTATTTAATTGTGAGGTTAAATATTTGCAATTGATTTGTTGGACAATGACTATGAATTTTGTGTATTGCAAATGTATTACAGATCGATCATGCACTCATTAGTGCTTTAGTTGAACGTTGGTGGCTTGAAACACATACATTTCACATGCCATAGGGCGAGGTTACGTTAACTCTTCAAGATGTTGCTGCTCTTCTTGGTTTGTCAAGTGACGGGGAACCACTTATTGGGCCAAGCTTACTGTAAGTATGCTTCACCATGGCTGTGATTGGCATACCACGAGCTCCCTTAAAAATGCTATTTACGCATTCGGATAAATTTGTTGTCATATGACCATAACGACGTCCATCCACGTCATATGCACGACTCCATTTCACTTTCGAAATGCTGTCAATCCAAGTTGCTACCTCTGGACTATTGCTCCGAAATTCCTCCAACTTAACATCAAAATTGACCTTCAATGGAGTATAACCTGCAATTAACAACAAATGAGAGCATTAGTTTTCGCAGTCAGTTACAATACTATTTGATTATAAAACTTATCGTGTCACCTAGATTCTTCAATTGACGTTTCCATTCCTCATTTTTGAATCTTTGGTTGAAGTTACTTCCAACATGTCTAAGGCAAAAAACATGGTACGCCTTAGGAGGCTGCCAATCAAGATATGGGTTTGCAACTACTGATAATATGCCTCGGTGCCTATCTGAGATCAGGCATATACCTATTTTTTGAGTGACATACAAACATATACATGACAAAAAATATTCCCATGACTCCTTCGTCTCACCTTCTACAACTGCAAATGCCAATGGTAATACCTCATCGTTTCCATCCTGGGTTATGGCAATCAACAATGTACCTTTATACTTCCCATATAAATGCGTGTCATCAACTTGGATAACAGGTTTGCAGAAGTTGAACGCATCACAACATTGCTTAAAGGTCCAGAACATTCTATGGAAGACACGGTAACCATTCAGGACCCGGTAATTTACCACGTAGTCATATGTCTGAATGTGGTAAACAGAACCCTCAGAAAATGTCAGCATGTAATTAAACCATCTGGGCAAATAAGCATAAGACTGGTCCCAATCGCCATAGATTTTTGCCATGGCTTTATTTTTAGCCTTCCAAGCCTTCCTATATGAAATAGTAAATCTATAACTGTTTCATATTCTTTCATGTATTAAATCGATCGACACATGGGGTTCTTCCTTCACCATATCTGTAAAAAAAAAATACACATTCCAAGTGGATATACTTGTTACAAACACCACAAATTTACTTGGAAACAATCCACTCACCCAATATAGTGGATGCAATGAAGGCGGAATCAAGTTGTCTGTGATCTTGGGACAGATTACAAATGACACAATTGTGAGGTCCCTCCCATCTACTCACAACCCATATTAATCCATTTTTTGGTTTCATTGCCCTCATGCACCAGGGACAACCCGTCCCTTGGTTCTTGCACCCCAAAACCAGCTTCATAGTCGTGTTCTCAACAACAACAGCTTCCTTATTAATTTTCATACAATACGACTTCACAGCCATCTGCACTAATTCATTAGATTCAAATTTTTCTTAACAAACAACTCATCCCCAATGGTCCATGCACCACGATACTCTCTCTCGTTGTATTCTCTATCTTCGTTCGGATACTCATAATTAAAGTATGAGAAATGTGATATGCCATTCCAAAAAGGAGTTACATTAGGACCCACATTAGGACTCACATTTGGACCTACATTATGACCCACACTGGGACCTACATTGTGACCTACATTAGGAGTCACATTGTTACCTTCATAACATACAAACAACTAAATCGTTAGTTGAATAAGAAAAATATATTATAAATTTGTTTATTAAAATCACTTGTGTACTAACCTTGAATGACATTCTGATAACCAACGATACCCGTTGATGTGGATATATTGACGTTGTCCTGGGATCCTATCGGCTCATCGTCATCATCTTCGCTATTTGACTCATCGTCATTATTGTCAGCTGCCAGGCACGCATCCTCGTCTTCTTCTTGTTCATCATTGTTGTTGTGGTCATATGTTGGAATGTCTTCATCATCAAATATAGCATTGTTGGGCACTACTGGAAGCACAGATGATGATGCATTCTTGTTCAACATATCAATGCCTGGTGCTGTATTCAGATCAAGTGACCGAATCGGTATTGACAAATCATCGGTATTTTCAAAATTCACGTATATCTCCATAAACTTTATAGCATTGCTTTGATCAAAACTCGTTTCAGCTTGTTCCACAAATATATCTAATATAATATCAACATCATCATCATCTGTAATTGTTATTGCTGTGTATTCAGAATTGCCAGCAAGAGCTCTTACGGTGACTTCAGAAATATGTTGATTCTCTTGTAACCCCAATTTATGATGAATGTTTGCTTTCAAGCCCTCAAAACTAGTACCTCGTGTAATTCGCATCGGTCATTTTTCACCTTCAAATATTACACCACGACGACCCATTACCTTTCTACCATTATAGTATATAAGCGCACGAACTATTTGTAAATTTGAGCTCATTTTTACTGTAAATAATTCAATAAAAGATATAAATACAAAAGAAATTAGTATGTCAGAACAAAACGATAATACATAAAACAAACACCATAATATATGAAATTCAACTTGTTGGACAAGTGGCCTCAAACTCAAGAGGGGGGTGAATTGAGTTTTAAAAATATTTTCGCAAAATGCCTCACTTTCTTTGTTGAAAAAGATTTTCTTGAATTAATATGATTTATACACAAGTAAGTCTAAGAGAATATAAATCAATACAAGCAAATAATATGCAAAGCGTAAATCTAAATAAGTTCAAGTAATCAAATAATGCTAAAGTAATGAGATAAATGGTTAGAGAGATTGCAAACACTATATATCCTGGTTCGGTCACCACCACCGTGACCTACGTCCAGATTGAAGCCGCTCGTTCAACTCTCCACTAATGATCAAGCTTCAAGGGTGCTTGATAAACCGCTACAACCTTAAAGTCTTTTGGTTCTTGAAACCCTTACACTTCCACTCACTTTCTAAGGCTATGAGCAACCTTTAGACTAGGGTCTCACTACCCTCAACTCAAATAAACAGAATGAGAGTGTTTAGAAATGGATTTGTACTCTTAAAATACAGATTATACAAGTTGAAGCTTATGGGTATTGATCAATGACACAAGAATAGAGCTCAAAGCAGTTTTATGATCAAAATGAGAAAGAACAACCAATGAATGATTTTAAGACAATGAGAATGATCAAGAATGATTGCAAAATCAATGGAACAGTAAAACTTGGCTTGCTGGTTCGTAATGGATAAGTTTATATAGGTGTTGGGACAAAACTAGCCGTTTATAGCCGTTACACTGCTCACTGTCCAGTAAGTATTCGAATACTTTTCTTAAGGTATTCAAATACTTTGTTCTCAGCACAAGTATTCGAATACCATCTAGAAAGTATTCGAATACTTTCTTGACAGAATATCTATAATGCAGTTTTATGAGTTGTAGTGCATTCTTTTTCGTCTCTAATCACTTTTAATGTATTTCCTTGACTTGTAAAGCATGTTTTGAGGTTACGAAATATGTCAAGGGTCTTTTTCATAATAATTAAAGCTTTGAAGTGATTGATGACATAGATAATGCATGCATAGAGTAAAATATTCTTTGAGCCCATTTATGCATCATTAATCAATTACCTTTACATTTAGATCTAAGCTCTCAAGAGCATGATTCAATCTTGATCGTGTGTGTTGAATGATTTGCTCTTGTTTTCTTGTTTGAATTGCTTCCTTGGACTTTTGATTGTTGCGAGTTGTATTATTTTTGACGTCGCTTCTATGCTTGTTTGTTATCATCAAAACTCTTGCATAAATGAACTCTTCATTTTAATCGCATTGGTTTCACACAACTAACCTCAACACAGCTGTTTAAATATAAAAGACTTCTGCATAACAAAACGAGGAAACACAAAGTATAATGCAAAATGAAAATGCACAAGGAAATGTTTAGCCGGTGATGGTTTGAGTGCGGAATATATAAGCTTGAACACGGTTGGTGGGGTAACATGTTCAACACGCGGCGGCAACAGAACCGTGTCAGATGTAGGGTGCTGATTGGCTGATTGGACACGGCCCTACCAAGAACGCGTCAGATGGCCTCTGACATGACTAAGACGCGTCTTCTTGGGTAACGCGTCCTGTGCAGTGGACGCGGCTGCGCAGGTACCACCTCCAATCTCCAATATTCTCCTTCACCGGTGATTGGCCGTTATGCGTGCAAAGGACGTAATGCTTAATAAGCCGCGTCGTAATGCATTACATTGGTAATACCTTTCACTGCGAAACTATACCGGTCAAAATTTTTAAAAATCGAACTACTAAGGTCAAATGGCCTGATTTGACCTCATTATTTGATGTTTGTAAAAAGAAATACAAATACAAAATTTACGTATCAAGTCATGTAAATTTATACATAAGAATATTTATTCACTAAAATTTCACATCACAATCTCATTGAAAATTGTGAATAATTTTTTAACTTTAGTAATAATATCGAAACAAGCACAATAACCTTTTAAAATATTAAGAATTATATTTTCAACAGTGAATATAAAATTTTGATATTTTAATTTCATATGATTCAACTTATTTTTTCTTACACGTTTAATTCAAAAATCTATAAATATTCCATATACACTAAAAAAATTTGTAATTATTAGGCAATCGGACCAAAATTGATTTGAACTAATTTTTTTAAGTGTTGGTTTTTCTAAAAAAAAATGCAGATAAATTATTTGTATTGAGTTCAAATAATATTATTTTAGACGAAAATCAAAATATTTATAATTTATAATTTATTTTAAAATTATAATTATTTTTATCATTATAATTTTTTAATTCAAAATGACATCATTTTAACCATGAATATAAATAATGGGTTCGTTTTTTCTGCCGTTACTGCAGATAAGTTATTTGCAATAAGTCCAATATGACGTCGTTTTGGGCGAAAATTATGGTGTTTTTGTAATTTGAATTTATTTTAGGGATATAATAGTCTTTATACTTATAATTTTTTAAAATTTCAATACCAAAACGACGTCGTTTTGATATTAAATACAGATAACTATCTGCATTAACGGCCGAAAACATTTTTCGTATAAATAATTTATCTAATTTCATGTTATGTAAACATTAAAGCTTTTTTTTGATGTAACTAAACATATTTTGAGGTGAACATAGATCAACGTATACTTGGCTTTGGTGTTTAGAGCACATAAACCCTAAACCCTGCTTGAATGCGGCTCAGTTTTCTCCCTCTGTCATCTTAGCGCGGGAATCGGTGGTTAGAACACATAAACCCTAAACTCTGCGTGCGGCTCAGTTCTCTCTTTCTGTCTTTGCATTATTGTGGAGAGAAGAAGAAGAAGAAGAAGAAAAAGTGTCTTGGTGTGAAACCCTAACAATGGCAACCTCAATAGCGTCTCAATTAGAAGTTATCAGATCCTTCGCAAAAGCTGACTCTGAGCCTCTCAAAAAGCCCTTCACTCGCCCTTCTATCTTGTTCGATCCAAAAGAAGCTGCCGATATCGATATTGAATCCATTTTCACAATCGCACTTCAAGGTCACTCTTCTCGATTTTCACAGCTTTTCTTTTTCTCTAATTTGAAGAAAATTTATTTGTACAAAGCAATCCAATTTTATATTGTGTATTATTATTATTATTATTATTATTATCATTATCCATATGCTACTTTGAATTCTGTTGCTGTATTGAAAATTATGCACTGTTTCAGGTTTAGAGGTTCTTGTAAGCACCGATGAACGGTTCAGGAACTATAAGAATGATTTGTTTAGCCAACGGAGTAAAGAGTTGGAAAGAGAGTTGATGGGCGTGGAACAGAATAATCATCTTAATGTCTCCATTGCTTCATTCTTAAGATTAATTTCTGGATATTTTCTTATTCCGTCTGCTCTTAAAACGCTTGAGTACTTGATACGTAGATACAAGTGAGTAGTTTATTTGATAATTCGTGTGGTTGATGTTATGAATTGTCTTTTTCTAAGGTTGTTGATTACCTCATCTTATTTTTTTTGTAATTTTTAATGTGTCTTGTTTTGAGTTTCAGGGTTCATGTTTACAACAATGAGGACTTGATTCTGTGTGCTTTGCCGTACCATGACACCCATGCATTTGTTCGAATAGTACAGATAGTTGATACGAGGTTAGAAAGATATCATTATTTGTTATATTGTTTTGTGATGTAGATTACTGGTTGGAATACTTTCTGATGTTTCTCCTAAGCTCTGTAAAGGAATACTAAATGGGGGTTTCTTGACGGTGTGAAAGTCTCTGGTGCACCACCACCTAGAATGGTCATAGTGCAGCAGTGCATCCGTGATAAGGGCATATTAGAAGTTCTATGCAACTATGTGAGTAATCATTCTGTGTTTAGTTGTGAATTTGATGGAATTGTATAATTATATAACTAAGTATTTGGTTTCAGGCATCTCCGTCAAAAAAGTTTCATCCTTCAAGGCATGTAATAGGATTTTGTACTGCTGTTTTTGTTGAAGTTTTGGGTATTGTTGTGCCTGTTAATGATGATCTTGTCAAGAGAATACTTCCTTTTGTGGTATCTGGTCTTCAGCCCGGCACTAAGGGAGTTTCAGAACACAAGGTTAGTTACAAGGAAATTATTTTTGCGCATTAAAACCAATTATAGTTGAGCATCATATGGTAATAGTTCTATGATTACTTTTTAATTTTTTAAGGTTTCCCAACCAGTTCATTGGTAATTCAATTAATCCGGTTCGAGTAGTGTCGTACCCATATAGAGGGTGGCTCTTCAAAGACTATTTTTCCATTCCTTGGTCTCGTACTCGAGACATTTGGTTAAGGGGAACAAGCTCCTTACCATTTGAACCATTGGTGTTTTGTGATTACCTTTTGATTAGTGGGCAATGTAATTACTGTCAAATTGTAGACCAGGTGAAATGAATTTGCATTTTGACTCCACAAGATCCAATTATGCATAGTTATTCATCACAAGTAGAAATAGTAATATAACATTCTCTTGGCCTAAACCTTTTTGTTAATAATTGTTATTCACTGTAATTGCTTTTATCGTCCTAAAATATTTTCTACATTCTTTATAATTTTTATTTTGATAAACGTAGAATATGCTTGGATTAGGTCATGTTATAACCTATGCTCTGTTCATGCAATTGATAGCTTGATTTTGCAGCTAATTCATTGATTTTTAAAACCCTCAAACTCTAGAATACTACATCACGCAAATATATAGTGGCTGAACCCACCTAGTGGGATAAGGTTTGGTGGTTGTTGTTTTATTGTGAGTTTTATGCTTTATTTTTATTACTTTTTTTGGTAAGCATGTTATGAAAGTCATTCCGTACATCATTTTTGTATTATTTGAGAAAAATAAGATGGTTCTCAACTGTTCAGTGATGAATTTTCACTTTTTCTTAGTTAGGCTGTGATACAGATTGAGTGCCATCTAGCTTTAGATACCCTATATATTTTTCATTCAAATTAAAAATAAAAGTAATTCACCAATATAAAAAAGTGCCCTTTAATCTCTCTCCATAATTGTAATTGTGAAGTAGACTCCCTAAAAAAAAAAAAAGAACGTGCACTGTGCACCAAACAGAGACCATAAACCAACTCTTTCTCAGACACATAAGTTTAAGGAATAATATATCTATGTAGTCTGTACAATCCTAAGATTCTCTCCTGTCTAAAAAACCAAAGAACAACATACATAATATGCCTCCATAAAAATGTGATTCTATGTCTGCGTCACCTTAATCTTAGGACTTAATTTCCTTTATATTTTATAAATTGGTCCTTGGTGCTGTGAATACTTCTTGTGTACCTGAGCTATGTTTCTTGGCAATTTCTTATGCATTGTTTCTTGTCAATTATATGCAGGCTGGTTCTTTGATGCTCATTGGTTTGCTTGGAAACAAAGCTGCATTAGCTCCCAAGCTTTTGAATAGTTTAATACGTTCAATTGCTGAGGTTGCTCACGAGGAGGCTAAAGAGTTGGGGGATCTTCATTGGCTTCGGTTATCCCTTATTGCCTTGATCAATCTTGTTCAGGTACTAGTGTAACCTTTTATCATTAGTGTTGAGTTACATGTGTCTAGTTTAAACAGAGGTATTAATCCTTTTATTTTGGTATATGCTATTTATCCAATTTTCTTTTTGGTGTGCTATATTTATTTTTGAATTTGGCTATATTTTTATTCTTACTTTGTTCTGCTGGAATTTTCTTAGTCTCAAAATGTTGAAATTCTCCCAGCTAAGGCCTTGGAGATTTTAAAGGAAATAAGGTAGTTTGCCTCAAACTGCACAACTTATCCATAATCACTATGCCTTGGCTGTTGTTATGTCTATTTACATATATGATTTTTAAAATCCTTTTTTGTACAGGGACTTGGCAGGGATTTTATTAGAATTGTCTAAGGAGTTCAATATTGAAAAGTTTTTAGTCGTGCTTTTGGATTCCCTGATTGAATGCAGGTGAGAATTCTATGATTTTCTTTCAGTAGACCTATGCTTTAATTCTTGTTTTATAAAAGGTTGTGTTTTGCGCTGATTATAACACATTTGCAGTTCTTCTGATGATTACTGTCAGCGGGCTTTGCTATCATTGATAGAAAAAGTCCCCATAAATGGTTCTGTTTATCATGTGGTCACCAAGGTCCTATCAACTTGTGTGAAATTATCACAAAAAGTTAGTGACTCAACGTCTTCAATGGCAGGTGTGTATTCTGATTCTGAATCATAAGTTGGTCACTTAGATCTTATTGTATAAATCTTGTCCGTCATGTTGTCCAATCTGTCCTGATGTACTTCATAAGGTTGAGTTAATATCAATTTATATATTGAAAATGAATAATCAAGTTTATAAAAAAAGTAATAATTAATGAAGATCACATTGGGTGATTGTGAAGTCACTTCTAAAAGCGCTTCTGTCAGAATAATTTTTGAGTATCTGTCTGAGAAAATTTTCTTCTGAAAGCAAGGACCATGTAGGCATTTTAAGTTATATGAAAATTTCTTTCACTATCAAGTTTGATCTTAAATAAGAGGGCGAGCCTGAAGCAGTGATAAAGTTGCTCCTTTATGACCGAAAGGTCACGGATTCAAATCCAAGAAACAACTTGTTTGCAAGGTGCACGGATAAGGCTTGCGTACAAGAATTTCCCTCACCCTTAACCTTGTAAATTGGGGTTTCATTTGGAGTGGTCTTTTATCAAGTTTGATCTTAATAAAAACCATAGTTATTAATAGTGCCGCTTTAGCGCGCTTTACCGGAGTTGCGGTGCGGTGCGACTGGCCGCCACAGACCGCATCACTAAGTAGGCCGAAGTGTGGCGGCTGTTGCGGCCGTTATCGTGGCGAAATAGCGCCTGAATCGCGCAACTACAGTAACCCTAACAAAAACTATCGAGGAAGAAGAAAGCAGCTGGGAAGAAGTAAGGTCGGGTTTTTTAGTTTTTACCCTCTTAAAGCTATCTGATTTATGTGAGGTAAAAGTAAAAAGTACAAGTAAATTTTAAATCTCATTCATTTTAAAAGAGGTAAAAGTAAAAAGTAAAAACAATATTTTAAATCTCATTCTTTTTAAGAGAGGTAAAACAGTAAAAATAATATTTTTTCCTCATTAATAAATTAGACAATCAGATACACGGTAGACAATCAAAACAGAATCAAATTATTCTATAAATTAAATCCAAATCATCACATACTCTCAAAAATCATCCACAATCCTAATCGTTCCATACATTCAAAATCCTCCTCTCCTCCTTCTCCCAAATCATTCGACTTTGCTGAGACTGGTTAGTTTTCTATTATATTTTGTTTTAATTTTTATTTTACAGCAAATGCTTTTTTTTTTATTAAGTTTCAATTTTTTTTTCTATTTTTTATTATTCAAGGCATTAAGTATTTATTTTTTTCTCTAATTATTTTTGTTATTATATTTATGTTTTATAGTCATATGTTTTTTTTTTTGTTAGACTTTTAATTTTCTGTTTTAACTTTTATCTACATTCTGCAAATGCATATTTTATTTATGTTTTACTGTTCAATTATTTATTTTCTCTCCATTTATTTTTTGTTTTTGTACTTCTGTTTTATTATATAAATATATTCATATGTTTGTTTTTTCTATTAGTCTATTAATTAGGTGTTTATAGTTTTTGTATTATATAAATTATATGTTTTTTTTTGTTAGACTAATTATTTTCTGTTTTATTTTTTATTATTTTTTCTTTTATTCTTCATTTTTTTTCTCTTTCTTTCTGTTGGACTATTTTACTTTTGTTAGACTAATTATATTTTTTTATGTTGGACTGTTTTGTTTTCTGTTTTTATCAGTGTTTTAAAACCCGGCTCGGACCGGCCGGTCGACTCGGGACTCGGTGACCCGGTGGGTTCCCCGGTCCGAGCGGGTAGTTGGACCGGTTGACCCGGCCGAAACCCGGTTGACTCGGGTTAAACCGTTTTTTTTTTTTTTTTTTTTTTGGTAAAATATTTTGTTGTTGATAAGAACTCTTGAATTAAATCATATTAATATTTTATGATGAATATGATTAAAAGTAAGGTGAAAATAATAAGGTATTTTAGATTAGTGTAGTTCGTTTATGTAATTTAGTTGCATCTTATAATGATCTCATGAAGTTAAGTGGTGATAAACACTGATGGTCTCATGATCTCATCTCAACGGAGGACACTTTTTTCTTATAGTGTATATTTCATGCATACTATTTGTTATCATAATTTAATTTATCCGTATCATGTCAAGCACAAAAAGTGCATTTAACTTATATTGCATGGTTTAATCCAATATTAGGATACGGTCTAGAGCTAGAAGCTTAGAAGTATATAATATTTGCTATCATTGAAAACCAATTTATTTCTTGAAGCTCATTGATAGTTTTCTTATATGAATTTTTATTAATATAAGTAATATTTTTATATTTTTAATATGTGAACAGTAAAACCGGTTCAACCCGGTTGAACCCGGTTGAACCAGTGACCCAGTGACCCAATACCTCGACCGGTTCGATTACCGGTCCGAGTTTTAAAACACTGGTTTTTATATTGGACTTTTTATTTATTTTGCCACTTTATTTTGTTGTTACATTATTTGAGACTTTAGTTCCTCCAATTTGCTTATGATTTGAATTTTAATGTTTGAAATCATTTATGTTTGAGTTTGACATCCTTCAAATTTGTTTTTTATGTTACATTTTCATTTTTTAAGTTTTATATTTATGGAGTACAATTTAGTGTATCACTTAGGTACACTTTGCACAGTAGCGTTGTAGCGCTACACGCTATAGCAGTTTGGAGGGTCGGCGTTATCCGAGATTAATAAGTATGATAAAAACACAATATTGAAAATGGTTTAATTATTATCATTTTTGTTTTCTGTATCCGTATTACCTAAGTAATAGAATATTTGCAATGTCTGTTTAAATAGTAAGTACTGGAGTTTGGAACAGCAGAATAAAAGGATTGCATTTTATGAAATGCTGACACCTCTCCATTTCTATGATATATAAAGAAGCACCTCAAAATGAATAACCAAACTCTCCTCGAATCACAACTACAATGCCTTATTTCTGAGGATTCTTAATTCATTCGTGGACAGTTTAACCCTGCGTGGGAACAGGGAAAAGAAAGATTGAATTTGTTGTTGGAGTCTAAAACATAGTAGTTAATTGTGCCGCAATAGCGCCGCGAGCCGCGCCGTATGGGCGTTGCGGTGCCTCGCTGCAAGAAACCGCGTTGCGCCGTACCGGAACGCAATAGCGGCCATTGCGATTGCATTTGCGGCCATATTGCTGTCATAAGGCAAAATGTCAATTTTGTCCTAAATTTAAATGTGTAACAAAAAAAATTAAGGGAGTGTTTGGTAGAGGATATATATTTTTTTACTAGGTAAATACATTTACTAGGAATATGGTTGAAAAATGAGTTTGGTAGGAAAGTTAAAAAAAAGTAGTTTGGTTGGCCGAAATATTACCAAGAAAATTGGGTTAAATTTTGTGAGTCTGTGATTGGTTGAAGTTAAAATATTGATGGGAAAATAGAATGAAATGACAAAAATAACCTTGTAATTAAATTTTGTGCACAGAAGTACTTTAATCAGAAGGGTAATATTGTCACTTTGCATGACTACTTCCCCCATTTACCCAGTTTTATTTTGAAATACCACATTGCAAGTGGTAAACTTGCACAGTGTTCCTCTTTGCTTTTTTCGCACAAATCATGATTTCTAGGCAACACCGTTTGATGGGAAAAATCTTAAAACACTTGTACCAAATGACGACAACATTGAAACCCAATTATGAATGCCTAGGTATATTTTCAGAAAACCTGAAGCAAACACTACCTAAGGGTTTTTTAGCCTATCCGCGTCTCTCTCTGTCACTTCTGATATCTCTGCCTTTAAAAAATGTTTCTTTTTGTCATCATTTTTGTCATATATCTATTTCGCTATTTCCGCAACCACAATCCGCTATAACGCTATAGCGTTTTTCGGGGTTGGCCGCGACATGCCGCAATCCGCATTTGATAACTATGGTCTAAAATATGCATCCAACAAGATAAATTTAATTTGTTAAGAAACTACATGTCTACATCCTCTTCCTGCCATTACTTCTCACCTTAAAATAATACCATTCCCGGAAATGAATTTGTGAAGAAACCCCTAAGGTCGTGAAAAATACATAGGAAGAGAGGAATTGCACATTACAGCTGGCCAACACATCAATGCTGTCAATATTCCTTGTTGACACTAACTCTGCTTTGCCCAATTTTGAATTTATATCTTCTTTAATGCAATTGAATATGAGATTTAAAATGAAATAGTATCTTCAACAAAGCCACTAATCCGGATAGGTTATCCCAAAATTGCATATTTCGGTAATGGTTCTAATTTTTTGAAGACGAGTTCACATGAACTGTTAGATACAAGTAGAATAAATGGTTAATAATGGGTATGAGTTTTTATTTTTACAGTGGTGTAAATTGATCCCTCCCTTACATATATGTATATATTGTGTTATATTTGCAATGGTCAGTATATGTTTTGTTTTACATGCATCAGCATCGACATTAAAGCTTCTGTCCCTCAATAATTTTGTCTGCTTTTCTTATCATGGTGCCTTTTTTTTTCTTCAAATATTCTAGCTCCCTTTTAATGTATCATTTCTTATATAAATTTATAGCTAGTCAAATAGTCGATTATTTTTTGATGCCTTGCTTATTATTCTTGCAATCTTGGTTTGTTAAATGTCAATTAGCTGGGTGGGCGAAAAAGATTCTGATTATTGTTAATACGAAGTATCCTTCTGACCTACATAGTGCAGTTCATCATTTCCTTCAGGTTTGCTGATAATATTTCTGCTTTTCTTTGTTTGCATGTATTGTCAGAAAGTCTTTAATTGTTTGAACTTTGAAAATGTTCAACAGGATAACAAAGTTCATTCTAAGAAAGACGATTCATTGTATAAGATTTTATGTAAGATGTTGGATGGGAATTTGGATTCATCACGTGATATCTTAGATTCAAAAGTTTGGTTTGCCTTGTATCATCCAAAGGTATCAGTTATTGACTGCCTCTTGAATATTAGGTGTCTGTAATCCTAAAAGTGTGTATTCTCTTGTTCATTGGTCATTAATTTTCTCTTGGTACGTAAGAGCTTCACAATTCTTATTTGATGTGGTATAGGCTGATGTTCGACGTGCTGCACTGCTTGATTTAAATTCTAGTGGCATCCTGAAATCCAGAGCGGTTGTTTCAGAGGTATTTATGTTTCATAAATCTTCCCCCATCGTCTTTTAAAATTCTATGTTCCTAGTAATTTATATTTTTCATTTATGACACCATTGAAGAACATCCTTGACGTTTTCTCGTTTTGGTTGGAAAAATTGAAGAGTTTGCTCAATGTGGTTTATTTCCTTCATTGATGATTTTTTTTTAAAATTTCTGATGTTGGTGGCATATTACTTAAAATCCATTTTTGCTTTCTTGATTTTATTTTTCTGAAAAGGTTGCATCACAAAATTTTACTGTCAAACTAGTTTTATTTTGAAATGTCTTTTGTATGTTTGAGTTCCATTTTGAATGACTTGAATTGAGTTCCATTTAAGATCCAGTGTATGATTTGTTAATGAGATTGAAAGTTACAAGGTCACTGATTCTACGCATAATTGTTGGGGACTTAGTTGATTTTGATTGAAGACTTCATTAGAAAGAGAAGGTGTACAAAGTGGGAGGATTATATATCCCTCAAAAGACACCTAAAATCAAGGAAAAAGAAAAGTGACAGGGGAAAGACTGTACAACTTAAAAGAGTAAACCTTATCCCCTTGCAAAACTGTCGAAGGAAACCCCTCTATAAACCGAGTCTTGACACATAATGAAGCCAAGTCTCCAAAAGAAAACGTGATGGCATAAAAAGCTATTGAGAATTATTGCATCATGCTTCAATGTCAAACCACAAACACCAATTGCTAGTAAAAAAAGCTCAGTTTCATTTGGGGCAAATCCAAAGCTCCTGGAGGTTGCTGTAACTCGTTAATTAATTATCTCAGTTATTGAAAAGAAGTTTCTGTATATCGATTTTGAATAATTTACATGAGTGAGTATTTATACAAGAAAAAATCGCTAAGAATGACTAAGCGATGACTAATCAATCCTAATCACAATCAATCCTAATCAATCACAATCAATCATAATCAATCCTAATTAATAGGAAATAAAAACGGAAACATGTTTGGATTCTGATTTTCTACACTCCCCCTCAAGTTGGGAGGTAAATATTGATCATTCCCAACTTGCCAATCAAGTCTTCGAATGCTGGACGGTGTAGGCCCTTGGTAAGGATATCTGCCGTTTGCTCTTTGGTTGGAACATATATCAAACGCACACTTCCATCATCTAATTTTTCTTTGACGAAGTGACGATCAACTTCCACGTGCTTTGTTCGATCATGATGCACAGGATTTTGAGCAATGCTAACAGCTGCCTTGTTGTCACAATATAGTTTTATTGGTAGGGAATATGAAATCTTCAACTCTTGAAGAAGTCTTCTCAACCAGATTCCTTCACAAACTCCATGAGATAAAGCTCGAAATTCTGCTTCAGCACTACTTCTTGCAACCACTGTTTGCTTTTTGCTTCTCCAAGTAACAAGATTTCCCCACACATAGGTGCAATAGCCTGAGGTAGATCTCCTGTCTACTGATGAGCCTGCCCAATCTGCATCAGTGTAGATTTCAATTGTCTTTTTATACCCCTTTTTAAAGAATAATCCTCTTCCTGGAGTATTCTTGAGGTATCTAAGCACCCTATAGACTGCACTAAGATGCTTCTCCTTGGGTGAGTGCATGAATTGACTAATCATACTCACCGCAAAGGCAATGTCAGGACGCGTATGAGATAAGTAGATTAGTTTACCAACCAATCGCTGATATTGTTCTTTATCCACCTCATTCCCATCTTCAATACCTAACTTGGTATTAGGTTCCACAGGTGTCTCAGCAGGTTTACACCCTAACATTCCTGTTTCCAACAAAAGATCTAGAACATATTTTTTTTGTGTTAGAGTGATGCCTGTTTTGCTCCTAGCAACTTCCATACCAAGGAAATATTTGAGAGTGCCAAGGTCTTTGAGTTCAAATTGAGCTGCTAGAAATTTCTTCAAGGTGTTCAATTCCTCAATATCATCACCTGTAAGAATTATATCATCTACGTATACAATAAGAATAGCAATTTTACCATCCTTAGAGTGTTTGTGGAAGAGAGTATGATCAGTCTGTGCTTGAATGAAGCCTCTTCTTTTGACTGCTTGTGTGAATTTGTCGAACCATTCTCTGGGAGACTGTTTCAATCCATATAGAGACTTTTTTAGTTTACACACTGATCCATTTCCCTTTTCAAAACCAGGTGGAGGATCCATATAGACTTCTTCATGTAAGTCACCATTTAGGAATGCATTCTTCACATCTAACTGTTGCAGAGGCCAATCTAGATTGGCAGCAAGAGATAAGAGAACTCGGATGGTATTGACTTTAGCAACCGGAGCAAAAGTCTCATGATAATCTATCCCATGAGTCCGAGTGAAACCCTTTGCAACCAATCTTGCCTTGTATCTGTTGATGCTATTATCTGCATTGAATTTTATTGTAAACACCCATTTGCATCCTACTGCCTGTTTTCCTTTGGGTAGGGTCACTATCTCCCAAGTTCCATTTCTTTTTAAAGCATTCATTTCTTCAAAGACAGCATCCCTCCATTTTTGATCATTGAGAGCCTCATGTATATTTCTCGGTATCTTTGTACTATCCAACATAGTATTGAAAGCACGAAACCCTGGGGACAACTTTCCATATGAAATATGATTAGAAATAGGATGAGTAGTACAAGATCGAGTACCTTTTCTAAGAGCAATGGGCAAGTGTAGATCATTTTCACCATGACACTCAAGTATTGGGGTGCTGGAACTAGAACATGGTTCAGAATCCTGGCAGTGTAGAGGCTCTGGGTTATTCACACTTTGAGGAGGCTTTCGCCTGCTATAAACTTGTCCCCATTTTGAGGAGGCTCCTGATGGTGAGGATTCTGTAGCTCCCCCTGTTTCCAAAATTAGAGGTAATACCGTGGCATCAGTAGGTTCCCATGACTGATCTTCATCTACTCCTATCTCCCCCTGAAGAGAAGTCGAGGGGAAGAAAGGGTCATTTTCAGAAAAAGTGACATCCATAGAGACAAAGACCTTACAAAGAGAGGGTGAATAACATTTATAGCCACGTTGAGTTGGAGAATAACCAATAAAGACACACTGGAGAGACTTAGGATCAAGCTTAGACCGTTGATGGGAGGGAATATGGACAAATACAACGCAACCAAATAACTTGAGAGGTAAGAAGGAGACACCTCGGAAGGAAGGGAAGATACGAACAAGACTAGAAAGAGGAGACTGAAATTTCAGAATGCGAGATGGCATTCGATTTATCAGATACGAGGCAGTGAGAACTGCCTCTCCCCAAAGATATTTAGGAACACTCGTGGTAAACATAAGAGCCCGAGCAACTTCAAGGAGATGTCGGTTTTTTCTTTCCGCAACTCCGTTTTGTTGGGGTGTGTCAGGACACGAGCTTTGGTGAAGGATGCCATGTTGGGAAAGATATTCTCCAAGAATAGAGTTAAAATACTCTTTGCCATTATCTGTACGAAGAATTTGTATAGCAACTTGGAATTGGGTTTGAACCATGGCATGAAATTTTTTAAACACGGATGCAGCATCGGACTTATCCTTTAGAAGATACACCCAACAGACTCGAGAATGGTCATCAATGAAGGTAATGAACCATCGAGTACCTGAAATATTTTTAACACGGGCTGGACCCCATATGTCACTATGAATTAAGGAAAATGGGGAAGAGTCATGGTGAACTTTAGAAGGATAATGAGCACGAGTATGCTTGGCAAGTTGACAAATATCACAAGAAAACAAACTTGGACTTTTATGAATAAATAAGTTTGGCAACAACTTCTGAAGCTAAATAAAATTTGGATGGCCTAGCCTACGATGCCACATCATAACATCATTACATGAATCAAAAGGAAACATAGAGTTTTTTTCTACGAAAACAGCTTCATGAGTCACATCCTCCTCAAAGTAGTAAAGTCCACCATCCTCTCTAGCACTGCCAATCATCCTCTCCGAGTCCTGTTCCTGAAAAACACAACCATGTGGAAAGAATTTAGCAAAGCAATGCAACTCAGAGGTGAGCTTGCTAATAGAAATGAGATTACAAGTCAGAGAAGGAACATAAAGAACTGATGTCAAAGTAATCAGCTCAGAAAGTTTAATGGTTCCGTGTCCCGCAATCTGGGAAAAACTGCCATCAGCGATCTTGACCCGAGAAGGTTCAGAATATGGAGTGTATGAACAAAACAAGCCAAGATTACCTGTCATATGATCAGAGGCTCCAGAATCAAGGATCCAATGATTTTGACTATCAACATGGAAAGCTATACCTTGCTGGACCACATGACTAGTGGCCTTAGGAGGTTGAGTGAAAAGTCTCTGAAGTTGTTCAAACTTAGTCTTGCTAAGAAAGACACCATCAGAGTAAGAGGAAGAGTGTTTTGAGGAAGCCATGAATAGAAAGAGAAGGGTTTGGATGGTTATTTCAGATTTGAATTAGGGTAGGAACGAACCCGCTCTTGATACCATATTGAAAAGAAGTTTCTGTATATTGATTTTGAATAATTTACATGAGTGAGTATTTATACAAGAAAAAATCGCTAAGAATGACTAAGCGATGACTAATCAATCCTAATCACAATCAATCCTAATCAATCATAATCAATCCTAATTAATAGGAAATAAAAACGGAAACATGTTTGGATTCTGATTTTCTACACCAGTATATGCTATAATGGCAGCAAAATAGTCTATTAACATTGTCATTTGTGCTATTTTGATATGGATTGAGTTGATTTCAAGTTGGATTGGGGGAAATCTTCATAATTTAATCAAAGTATTATTTAGGATGTCTTAATGATGCTTGTCATTGTGTTTGCATGTACATGTGAGAAACCCCTTTTGTTGTAAATGTTTTCCTAATTATACAGCATTTGAGTGATTCTAATTCCATATTCAAAATCTTTAACTTAATATCTATTACCCCCCAACCCCACACCCCAAATTGTTGTGTTATTGATCAGAGTTTTATAGACATCGGAGAGGCCATACTGAGACAGCTTGATGATAAAGATCTAACAGTTGTTCAAGCAGCTTTACATGTTGATGGCTTGCCAAATGTAGTAAGTTCTTCTAAGCTTATTGATGCACTGCAGAATGTGCTAAGAAGATGTATTGGCAAGCTACTATCAGGTGTGGTTTATCTTTTCTTTACGTGTTATATTAAAGCATTACAAACTTGTTTGTCTGTTCACCTCATAAAAGTAACTACTTTTTCACAACCGGTTTCCTACGCTTGATGCAACCCTCCTCCTTTATTCCTTTATGGTACAGGCTATGTAATTTTACAAAGATGAAGATTACAAACTTGTTTGTCTGTGTTATAAAATATAACATGGTAATTGGTACTATACACACACACACACACACACACTTTGTAAAACATATGATAGATGGCATGCATACATATTGACTACTAACAAGATGCTGGGAATGGGAATCTTTTCTCTGAATGTACTTTTGTCGAATGATGGCTGATGGTGGTGGAGTTATGTGCTAAGAATATAGATGTGGCAGTTTTAAAGCTTTGAATAATAGTCTAATCTCCTTCATGCTTTTCCAATGGTTCAAAATATACTTTTGCTTGGTTCCTTTTTGTAATGATTCATTCAAGGCTAATGCGTCTAGCCCAAGTGGGGTTGATTCAATAATTGAATAAAATAAATAAATTTTGTAGTTCTTTGTCTATTGCACACATAATTTACACTGAGCCTCATTTTCTTCTTGCAGGAATAATTGAATAAAATAGATAAATTTCGCAGTTCTTTTTGTGATGTACACATAATTTACACACTGTTCCTCATTTTCTTCTTGCAGGTTCAACTGATAACGTTAGTCTAACTGGTGAAGTTGCTGTCACTTGTCTAAAGAATGCAATCTCATGCTTCTATGATCATACTGATTACTTGAAGAACATTGCTGCCATGATTTTTCCATTACTCCTTGTTCTACCACAGGTTGTATTTAATATTTCTGTTTTGGATAGAAAGTTTGATATGTTTTTGACCTGGTGTCTTCTTACTTCATTGCATTTAGATGTTCCCTTGTCTGGGTGATTATCCCATAACTACGTATCTTGCCATGTGCAGACACAGAGCTTGAACTTAAAGGCCCTGGGATTTGTCAACAAAGTAAACTGGCCACTTTATCGGAATATTGCTGTGTCTACCTCTGGAGAAGTGGTAAATATCTACTTGTGAATTGGTTTGCTCTATATTTTTATATTTAATCTACGCTTATAATTTGAAGAAACTTTAGTCTGTTGTTCAATAAGTAAGTTTGTCAAACTCAAGATTCTACTCGTGATTGGCCATGGTGAATTAATGATAAGGACCAATCATGAGGTCCTACCTCCTTTGGAAATGCAAAACTTTGAAAATTGAAATTTCACACTTTTTAATGATTTTACATGAACTGGGATTGTGGAATAACCCAATAGGAGCATGTCTAGTACATTAATATCTTGATATTGTATTGATAGTACTTGGAGTTGGGGTTTTCTCAAAGACATTTTTATTTTATCAGAATTCTAAATTGTTAATCACGACCACTCATAAATATGTTTATGTCAAATGAAGTGATCAATCACCTTTCACTTTACTGACTCTTAAAGTGCAATTGCAGACACTGATACCTGGGAGTTTATCTTCAATTAACTTGAAGACTATCAATAACATGGCTGATAATTTCATGGTCCACCCTGAAGATCATATTGCTTGGTTTATTGAAAGCTGCAGTGATTTGGAATTGTCAAAGACACTTTTCTTTTTTGTTTTATTGCAGTCTCTTTTGAGGAATCCAAAAGGTTTGTTTTCCCCTTTCTCTTTTTGAATTCCATTTTTTCTGAAGTAGTACATACATATCTTTTTTTGGTTCAGAAGTTAATTATTTGGATTACATCTTATCCTCCACCTTTTGCTCTTTCCTTTTCTCTCTATTAGATTCTTTTGTCTAAAATTTCGCAAAGAAGTTAGCAGAATGCTAAATTTTGACCTTTTCTTTTTGATCAAAGGTGATGACTTTTCTGCACTATTTGAAAGTGTATTTCCTATTTTAAAGGCTGAGTGGGAATCCTTTGTGACTGCTGGTGATGCTTTTTTGGATGAGGTACACGGGATTTACGAACATATGGGTGCTTTTATTCGTCTTGTATTTTGTGATGAGAAACTAACTTTTTGCTTCCTTTTTGATTGCTGGGATTGTTTCACAGTTCAATTCTGAAGTGTTAGACTGGGATTGCAGTGCATTCTTGGACCATCTTTTGTATGCCAATCTCAGGCCTCTAAATGCAAAAATTATGGTTTGCATATTTTGGAGGCTGCTAGCAACACTAATATCAGCAGTGCCTTCGGACATTCCACTTGTTAGTAATTCCTTTAGTATTTGCAAGTCTGTAATCAATGTTGTCTTGTGAACCTGCTTTCCTTCTTGGACTTTGTTGTTGTTAGTCTTCCATTGTTCACCATTGGTTGGATGAATGAACCTTTTACAAAATGCAGGATGATGACGATGATGATAAGTGGGTCAGCAAGATAAAGGATCTGTTTGTATTTTTTGCCTCCTCACAATTCAAACATGCATTCAGTAAACACCTTCATTACCTAGTGGCACAATGCAGAATATCACCTCCCCGCCTCTTATCCAAGTTTTTCACAGAAGAAGGTGCTCTAAGCTTATTCTCTGTTGTTTTGATTTACTCTATATGTTGAGTGGACAATGCAGTGTTGCTTCTAATGTGAAATTCTTGCTTGTATGATTGAATATAACAGTTTATCTTGTAAATGCCGCGATCTCACATCATACATAATAAATACTGTTGTGTAGTGTGTGTAATATGAGCAATCACATAAACTTTCTCTCAAATCTTCTACCATAAAGTTTTTCTCAGTTTCTCTTTGGTTCTTGAAATTTATCATTAGGACAAGACATTGTTTGCAAATTTTCTTGTGGGAACTTGTTCTGTCGGTTTAATGATTCGCTGGACAATTTCATTATGATTGCGATTGTGGAAGAATTTCATCAATCAAAACAATCATTCCTCCTGTCTTTGCTTAATGATTTTTATTTCTAATTCTGTCAGAAAGAATGAATTGCTTTTTATTGCTAGTAATGTGTGTTTGTGGTTGATAGTTGCATGTATCATTTAAGATATTAAAAATAAGGCTTAAAGACAATCAAGGTGGCATGATCAAGATGATATTTCTAAAAATTTTTGAGGTCCTTTATCTAATTATGACTTCTTTTTTGTAGCATGTTTGAGTCCTTGATTTGGAGTGCAAATCAAGTAATTAAATGCAAAATAGGGAAAATTTGCTAGTGTCACCTTATCACAAGTTTATTTTATTGCCATTCAGATTTGATTTGGGACTTGTGTTTTTTAAAAAGCTAAGTTAGTAAAGTTACCATGTACCCATGCGAATGCTGGCAAGTATAAATGCTTTCTTTGCATTCCCTTGGAGTTATGTGTTCCTTTTCTGTTAAAATTTATTATGTTCCATACTTGGCTGTCAAATGCTATTCATCTAGCATTCACAAACTACTCATATCTGTTTTGGTCTATATTGCTGAGCTTGTGTTTATGTTTGCGCACATGATTCCAAAGCTATATACACACACGTGTGTGCACACACACACACACACACACACACAAAATATAAGCACCATCAGAGTTAGTCATCTATGCAAATGCAATTAAGTTATAGTTTGATTTTTAATTTTTTTAAAGCTTATTGAAGTCATGGTTATTTGAATGGTATTTCCAGATTATGTTGGTATTTTATAGTTCTGAGAAAGTACCCATTGGTTTGATTTTTTGTTGGTTCTTCAATTCTGCAGGTGTTCCTGCCGTAGTCCAGGTTGAAAGTCTTCAGTGCTATGCAGCTCTTTGTAGTCCGTCACAAGATAGATGGCAAATTGAACTTTTAGCCGAATTTCCTTCTGTTCTTGTTCCATTGGCTGCTGATAACCAGGTACGTCTCTTTCTTAGCTTTACCTCCTGGCATTTTTGTTTGTCTTTTTCTCCTTTTCTGTGCAATGCAAATTTATGATTGTCGACAAATGGTTTTCTTGTTTATAACTGTAGAGCCTATCTACTTTCAGTCCTGTTTTTTCTGTTCTGTTGGTTTTTGAGGAAATATCATTGGGTCTAATGATCTCATTGAGGAAATATCTATCTTTTGAAATTTTTTCCAGGCTATAAGGATTGCTGCCATGAACTGTATTGTTGAGTTACATGCATTGGGTTGTCATATTAAACGTTCTGGCAAGAAAAATGGTACTTCATTGTCAGAATAATTAGATTTTGCCCTTAATGTCTAATTAATTTTACTTGGTACTTAATAAGTTTCTAAACTTGTACGAGCAGGGAACAATGCAAACTGGATCCATTTTCTGGGTGAGCTCTTATTGGTGATGGATCAGCAAAGAACACTTATATTGTCTGACAAGAAATTTCTTCCGTCGTTGTTTGCATCCATGCTGAGCTCATTCTGTCATAACATCGTAGTACCTCAAAATATTGAAACCAGGTATTTATAATGTTACGTGACAACTTTCAATGGCACCACTTTTATCACTATACAACTATTTGATATATTCGTTGACTTAGCTGCTGCTTATCAAATGTATTTCCATGCTTCCTTTTTCTGTTGTTGGAATTAGCCAGATCTTCATGTGGGGAGTGACATTTGGCCAGAGTTTTTTTTCCTTCCCTTGTCTTTTTATAATCTAAATGATTTAATATTTGGTGAGAAATTTTCCGTTATGGGAAGTATCTGTTCTCTTGGTCTTCATCATGAAAGAAAGCCAATGGCTTTTTTAGGGTGTCCTTTAATCAAAATACAAGTTCAGCAGGATTGGAAGGACTAGGTACATTGATGTGGTGATGCATGAAACAAACAGAGTAGCATGTAGAAGGGAAAAATAGAGAGCGGGGGCAGAAAGAAGGGGGAAATTTAGGTAGATGGTAGAGGGAGAACAATGACATTCTGATAGAGTCCAACCAGTAAAAAACAAGGAAGCTAAGGGAAATGAGACACAAATCAACACATAATGTAATAACTAAACAATAAGCTGAAAAATACATGGTAATAACTAAACCACATAGAAGGAAAGATTACACTGAGAACACGATTACATTGGAAATGAAAAGGAAGACAAAAAATGATAGTCCTAGAGCTTGTTCAAGAGACTCCATGGAACTCTCCCAAATCTGGATTTCTCCAGCCCAATGTGGTTGCCCAGCCAAGGTTTTCCACATGCCAAGATGCCCTTCCACACATTGCCCTCCTCCTTATAACTGACTAACCCCCAATACTATTCCTACGGACGTGACACTCCACACCTTCCATCTAGAATATTCTTTATAACTAACTTGAGTCAGCAAAATGACTATTCCCCTACAGTGTTTCCTCACACGCACCCTTAAAGTTGGGATCGTATCACATTCATTCGATGATACACACTCATCCAAAACTGAGAATTAAAATCATACTGAACATATGCTTAATCTGTTTGGATAGAGAACCCTACCTTCACATTCAGGTAATCCTATTTAAAATAAAAATCCTTAATTAGTTGAAATGCCAGTCAATCAAGTTACTTCTGGATTTCGTAATTTTGGGTTTTCACATGAGAGCTCTTTTGAGATTATTATTATGGTTGTTCTAGGATGATTACTTTTCTCCTTTCTTGAAATTATTTACTTTCTCCTGATGAATTCTTTGATAAATAAGTGATTACCTAAATTATGGTAAATTCGAAACCGTGCAATATGAAGTGTTTTATCGAATTGTATCCTCTGGCTTTGGTTCACATCCATTTTATGGCAAGAATATTTTTTAATATTTTGACTTTTTCACTGTTTTATTTGCTTAGGATAGTGTTTTTCTTATCGTTTATTTCTTTATAATGTGTGTATTGTTGAGATAGATTGTGTGGCCTAGCTTTTTACTGTAGTTTAAGCTATTGCTTTGTATTATTGAGATGGATTATGGGAAAGTTTTGGTTTTAGGGATATTCTGTTGTGATTGGCTTGGATTACTTATGTATCTTGTGACTTTCGCCATGTAAATTTTACATTTTCATTTTGATTATTGGTAGTTTCTATTTTTTCTCAGATTTTTCATTATCTTCATTCAAAAATTAAAATGAATATTCATTTGTACTAATTTCCGAGATTTTTTATTCTGCTTCATTTCCACACATCTTTTCAGGTTTGATCAGTCCACAAAAGAAAAAATTCTTGGCTTCATTTTGGGTTCTGCTTTGAAGTTCTCTGACTATGGAAAGGTTTGATATCTTCACACTTACTATCTTCTATTTTACTCTTTATATGATTCTAGTTTTGGAAATTGTGATATAGATCAAGGTTTCATGTATTCATTTCCAGATTTAATGTAGTATTATGTGTGGATTTTTATGCAAAGCTGAGACTGTAAGGGAGTAACTTATTTTTGGGCATTGATGTGCTTGGCAGCTAATGATTTTATCCTTGCTGAAAGGAATTGGGAATGTTATTATGCATGTTAAAAATGTTGGACCATTGTTGTCCTCTTTTATGGAACAATACTATAAGAAGCTCGAGAGGTCTCGCCAGAAATTGTCAAACATTGAAATTCAGATAATGTGCCTTTTGCTGGAGGTATGTATATTGTATTGTATTTTAGCTGATGGAACCTTCATTCTGATGTTTGGTGTGAACTCATTACCCTTCTTGTGTAGAGCTGTGTTATGTCGTCTCCCTCTGGTGGAAATGATCTTCAAGATCATTTACTGAATGCTTTGCAGGTGAGATACTAAGGATGTATGCTTTTCCTACATCCTATGTCATTATTTTGAGTTTCTTACTTCATAGTCTGGACCACTGCCTTTTTCAGTTGGATGCTATGAGTTCAGATGACCCTGCCTATGTCGAGCCTTGTATCACTGTCTTAAACAAACTTAACCGTCAATTCTACATGGGGTTGAAGAATGACGTGAAGGTCTTATTTTCAATATACGTATTTATTTCCAGAGTTTGTTATTGTCATTCATGATAAGTAGATCTGTACATTATCTTGGCTGGATGCATTAAAATGTTCTGATTATTTGCTTCATTAGGTAAATGTGCTCTATTATAGCCTAAACTACTACTCTTTTCTCGTGTCTTCCAGGAGCATTTATTTTGCAAGCTTGTCTTTCTGAGCTATATTGCTAATGGCGACGTTCAAAGTGCAACTAAAGAGGCCTTAATGCGCATAGATGTGAGTTTCTTGCTGTTGGTTAAATGTTATCAACCATGTGTTGTCTCAATTAGTGTTCTTTGCTTGTTTCTTTTTAGTGTGTATGTGCTAGATTTCTTTAATGGTTGCTTGAAAAGAACTTAATCTTTGGTATTATTAAATCTAGAAAACTATTAAATTGCGTGATACCTATGATTGTGTTAGTCACAGGCCCCAATTAGGACCTGAAGAGAAATTGTAGAGATATAAATTCTATATTTCATCACTTAACATAACCTTTTGGATCTACTGGCTATTTGGCATTATGGTCTTTTTATTTGCTCTATTTATTTTGGTATTATGTTTCTTTTCAATGTAATGGAAGGGTTCTTCCGTGTTTTTATTCCATAGAAGGAAAAAAAGAAATGAAATTGAGAATAATTGGTGGTTATCATGGAATTGCAGATTAGTTTCTCAACTGTTGGCCACATACTTGATCGTATACTTACACAGAAAGGTTGCGTAATTAGTTCAGCCAATGAAAAGAAGATAAAGAAACAGAAACTGGCTGTACTTCAAGAAGAAAAACTTCCCGCTAATGACATATGCGGAAGAGATAATCCCGTCTACATGCTTAGTTCCCTTCTTGATGTTTTGCTACTGAAGAAAGACATAACAAACAGGTGACATGATTTCTTCTGAATCTCAATAATGACATTGTGGGTACTGCCATGAAAGAAGATGACTACATCATTACCATGCCAAAAAAGTGGTTAAAGCATTTCATTGTGCTAAATTATCAGTTTGATTCTTGCAGGCATTTGCTTTTAGACTCCTTATTTAAGCTTCTTAGCAAGGTATTTTCAGAAGAATGGGTAAATGGTACCCTCTTCCTGGAAAAAAGGTTAAGCCAACCTCCATCAAGTCCTTCTGAAGCCAGCACTACCGTAGTATCTCATATTCAGCAGACTCTGTTGATAATCCTGGAGGATATAATTATGTCTCTTAAAAGAACGGCTCCTCTAAATGTATGCTACCTAATCATGAAGCTGGAACATCTATTATGATATGAGGAATATTATTTTGACTACCTCTTCACTATTTTGGCTATTTCCTTTTCTTAAGTTTAACTATTGTTGACAGGGAAAAATGACAGATGAAATTAATATTAAGCTACTGATAGAGTGTGCCCAGACTTCCAACCTGGTAGTCACCCGCAACCATGTATTTTCTCTGCTTTCTGCTGTTACTAGAGTCTTCCCAGAAGAAGTTTTGGAGCATATACTTGATATTGTTGCAGTGATTGGAGAATCAGCTGTCAAACAGGTTTGTTAAAATAGGCTTTCCCTGTACTGAACTTAGGACATTCTTTGTGTAGAATAGCTTATTATATCCTTTTTTCTACGGAGAACAGATTTTATGTGGGAAGAATGCTTATTATATCCTCTCGTTTTTTCCTGCTTCCATTCTTTAATCATTGCTTTTCTGTCACCATTTGAGATTTGATTTTGAAACTGAGTAAGTGAAGTGCATGCTTACATACATATTATGTATTACAACTACTGTAAACTTTTAGTTACAAAGTGTTTGAGAGTATAATTCTTCATAATCCAATTTATTATGGATAACTAATCCATTATATGAGCTGTGGTGTCACCGTTTCTCTGCTTATGTAACTGTAGATTGACAGTCATTCGAAGCATGTTTTTGAAGATCTTATATCTGCAATTGTTCCTTGTTGGCTGTCTAAGACAGATGATGTGGAGAAATTACTGAAGGTTGGTTTTTCATGAAAACCCTTATGGGCTTTCATGTCTCTTCTACATGATTGGAAGTAACTCTGTGTACACTAACCTTCTGATTTGGTTTTTCTTGCTTCAGATTTTCATGGATATATTGCCTGATATTGGCGAGCACAGGAGGGTGTCAATTGTTTTATATCTGTTAAGGTATTTTTGTTCTACATTGTTATCCTATTATCATAACTTTAGCAATTGGTTTATAGTGGTAGCTGTTTTGCAGAACTTTGGGTGAGGGTAAAAGCTTGGCCTCATTGCTTATACTGCTTTTCGGTTCATTAGTTTCAAGGAAAGCTACCTGTTTCCTAAATATTGAGACTCCAGATGCTTTAACATTTTATACCAAAGAGTGGGAATTTAAATTTGCAGTGCAAATTTGTGAACAATATACAAGTACGACTTGGCTTCCTTCTTTAGTTATGCTGCTTGAACAGAGGGGAAATAGTAATGCTGACCAGGCATTGTTTCTGGAGTTGTTTATTGCAATGCAATTTTCTTTGCAAAAATTGCAAGATCCAGAGTTTGTGTTTAAGCTGGAATCTGGAGAAGATACAGTTGTAATTCAGGTATAAATCCAGATCAGATAAATGATGCAAGAGACTTTTATGCCTTTTTAACGTCTTTATTCAATTCTATCGTGCAAAGTCTGGATCTTAACTATTATGATTTTTATGAAGAGCTTCCATTTTTTCATGACCAATGCCTAGTTATCAGTAATAGACACAGTATCTTATCTTGGCATAATTGAGAGATTGATATCTCTAAATTTATAAATTAATATGATTATATGGATGAAATTGTTAATTTTCCATTAATCAGAAATTGAGTTTATGGAGATACACAGATCTCAGGCTGATATTAAAGCTGAAGCATATTTTGGCATTATGAACTGAAACATTCATTGAAGTTCATATTTGTTTGATATTTCATTGTTGTTTTCATGCTGAGATGCTCTTTTTGGTTTCTCACTTGGATAGCACTGGTGTTGCATGCTTATGCTTGGGTGAATGTTCTAATTTTTGAGTAGTATAGAAACACTTCTGTTTATTCTAGCTGAACATATTCATATTCATATTCAAAATAGATCTGATGGGTTCTCCAATATTGCAGAGGGCACTGGGAGAGCTTATGGAGCAGGTTGTTTTCCTCTTGCAACTTGTAGATGCAAGAAAAAAACAACTGAATTTACCTGTCATTGTGAGGAAAGAGTTGAAGGAAACTATGCGTGCTGTTGTGAGGAATATGACAATGCTCATGATACCTTCAGCATACTTTAAGAGCATAATTAAGTTGCTCCGCCATGCCGATATAAATGTTGGAAAAAAGGTATGGTTTTTAATAAGATTACTAAATACAAAATTTTTTTAGGATCTTGAAACTTTGATGAAAGGGTAGACCATCATTTGTTGGTGTCTTTATTTGCTTCATAGTATTAGACATCTGGGCTTTGAGAGGTTCCCTAGTTATGTTGGTGTCTTTATTTGCTTCATAGTATTAGACATCAGGGCTTCGAGAGGTTCCCTTAATTAGGTGGGTAGCCATAGCGGACATTTATTGTTTTTTCATTTGATGGTTATTTGAAAAATACACGTATTATTCACATGCATTACATATTGCATTGGTTGCATATCTACTAAAAGATCTTTTAGTTGGACTTGAACACTCATCTTGGTAAAAAATTTAATTTAAGTGTGTGAACGCGAGACACTGATAAACTGTTATTTGATACTGCTTTTCTTGTGCTGCAGGCTCTTGGGCTGTTTTGTGAGGCTGTAAGAAATTATATAACTGTCAGCTTAAAGCTTAAAGGCAGCAAAGGTTCAAGGTCAAGTCCAAGTTTTCCTTGGCTTCATATGGATGAAAGTTCTCAAGAATCACTTAATAAATTGTGTTTAGAAATTATTCGAGTACTTGATGATTCATCAAATACCTCCTTGAAAGTGGCAGCAGTTTCAGCATTAGAAGTTCTGGCCGAAAGGTTCCCTTCGAATAGTTCCATCTTCAGTTTATGCCTTGGATCTGTTACAAGATGTATTACATCTCATAACTTTGCTGTGACTTCCATATGCCTTCGAACAACTGCTGCATTGATCAATGTTCTAGGTCCAAAAGCACTGGCAGAACTTCCTGAGATTATGGACAATGTGATGAAGTCATATCATCAAGTATTGTCTAATCTGGATATGAAAGCCAAAACTAATGATGTTTTATCTGCCTCAAATGAATCCCATTTTTTTTCTGTTCTCCTCACTTTGGAGGCAATTGTGGACAAGCTTGGTGGATTTCTGAATCCATATATCACAAATATCATGGAACTTCTGGTGCTTCATCCTGAATATGTCTCAGGAATGGATGCAAAGGTGGAATCTAGAATTCGGGGAATACGCAAGCTTCTTGCTGAAAAAATTCCTGTAAGGCTTGTTATAATTTAGTGTTGTGTAACTGTGTTATGAAATAAATACCCGTGTTTTCTTTACCAAACACATTTTTTTCTGACAGGTTCGACTTGCCCTACTACCTTTGTTAAAATTATACCCTGCTGCCGTTGAGGCTGGGGATAAAAGCTTAATAATTATGTTTGATATGTTGGCAACCTTGGTTGGTACAATGGACAGATCATCTATTGTGGCATTCCATGGAAAGATTTTTGACCTTTGCTTGGTTGCTCTTGATCTTCGCCGTCAAAGTCATCTTTCGATTCAGAACATTGATGTAGTGGAAAAAGGTGTGATTAATGCAGTGATTGCTCTGACCCTAAAACTTACTGAGAGCATGTTCAAGCCTCTTTTCATAAAGAGTATTGAGTGGGCAGAATCCGAGGTGGATGAAACTGCATCTGCAGGAAGCATTGATAGGGCCATATCTTTCTATGGCATGGTAAATAAGCTTGCAGAGAACAATCGGTAAGTCAGTGTCTATATTTTTTGGGAATGGATCCTCTCATGTGAAAAAGTAGTCATGTTATTTGATCACAACCACTCATTAATAATGAGATAATGAGATAAGAGAGAGAAAAATGTATAATTTTTAAATGAGCGGCTGTGATCAAATAATATGACCACAAGACAACTTTTTCACATGAGAGGATCCACTCCCATATTTTCTATATCTTATTACGTAGTTATTATTTTTCTTATATAATGTTCTTTTAGATAAGCATGATTTATGAGATTTTGAATGTCTAAAGTCACTTTTTCTTTCTCTAGAATTTTCTTGGTAGGTTTATGGTATTTCATTCTCAGAAAAGTAATTTAGCTTTATAATTGTATTGTATTATATTATTTATATTAATATTAACATGAAAGTTGTTGTATATCCAACCACAGGAATTTTATATCAAGTACTTGTGACAGTTGAGATAGTAGATACATACATACCTTTATCCAATTTGGTCATGTATTAAATTAAAAAATAGTTTTCAATAGGATTTCCTTAATTATTTATTATGCACGCCACCAATAAATAGAGCTATATAATCAGTTATAATGATGCTACTTTGTTTTGTTTTCTCAAAAGAATGATCAACGACATCCCTTTACAATGCTGCTATATTCTTTTTTGTAGGTCATTGTTTGTTCCTTACTTCAAACACCTGCTTGATAGCTGTGTTCATCATCTTAGTGGTGGTGGAGATGTGAAAGTGTCTAGTCTGAGTCGGAAGAAAAAGAAGGCTAAGATTCAGGACGATGGCAATATACAAGAAGCGAGCAGTGTGTCTATCAAGGGCTGGCATCTCAGGACAGTAGTCTTGTCATCCTTGCACAAGTGTTTCCTCTATGACACTGGGACCTTGAAATTTCTTGACTCCTCAAATTTCCAGGCTAGTGAATTCTTTACATTAGACCATTATTTATTTTTTCATCTTATTGAGTAATTGGCTAACAGAGGGCGAACCAGAGCAGTGGTAAAACTGTTCCTTTGTGACTCATTCCATATGTAAAACTCTTTGCAATTATTTGCAAGGATAAGATTGCGTACAAGGATTGCCCTCTCACCCCACGCTCTCTAGTCGGATTTAATTGGGGATTGATTTTTTTTTATTGAGTAATTGGCTCATTCCTTTAAAACTGACTGTATATGCTTGTTGCAGATGTTGTTGAGACCTATTGTTTCACAACTTGTCATAGATCCACCGGCTTCGCTGGATGACAGCATGAATATACCAAGCGTGAAGGAAGTTGATGACCTACTGGTTGTGTGCATCGGTCAAATGGCAGTGACTGCTGGATCTGACCTTTTGTGGAAACCTTTGAACCACGAGGTGAAGTTTATGATTTCTATTCCCTTCTGCTACTTTTTGTTGTTGTTCGAATAATTTGATAGAGATATGGGTATAGCATACCATGCTTCAGTATCTTGTTTTACGTTGGAGCTGTCGGGAGCAGTGTTTTAAAACCCAGATCGGACCGGCCGGGTCAACCCGTGTTTGGGTGACCCGATACCATCACCGGTTCGAGCTGGCCATTGGATCGACCATGCATTTAAATTGGTTTCGACCCGTTGACTCTATTCAACACAAATAAATATGATAAATTTATATCAAATTGAATTTTTTATTTATATTGGCAGAGTCTCGGTGACTCGACCGGTCATATGAAACCCGGGTCAAGTTGTTTTTTTAAAAAACTGCAATGGCTGGGAATCGAATCTAGGAGTGAGTAGTGTTACCACTTACACTACTACGCTACGCTTAATTGTTGGTCAAAATGCATCTTATAATATATTTATTATATAATTTAATATAAATTTAATTAAATCGGTTGAACTAGTGACCTACTGGTTGAATCAATGATCCGGTACCTCGACCAAATCGATGACCGGGCCAAGTTTTAAAACACTGATCGGGAGCATTGGTTGTAGATTAGCTTTTCTGCTATTTTGATCCGGCTTTAATTATCATGCCAATCAGCTTAATTTTGACTCAATTTAAGTTCTTTGTCCAAATGCTGCTTCTGATCCACCAGTCAATGATTTTAAAGATCTGAACTGGATTTTGTGTTATCTCACATCCTCATTTCATCAGATTTGTTCCTTTCTAGTTATACATAGCTCATATGTCATTTGTTGTGGAATTTTGGCTTATTAATTAATTATTCTAGTTTTGGGTATTCTGAAATATGCAGAGCGCTAGAATGCTATATACTTATACCCTATACGTACTAGTATTTAATCTCATTTATGTCACTATGCTGTTGTATATATATATTTTTAGATATAAGTGAGAATTGAACACATAACCTAATATAATCTACCCAAACCTTTCACCACTAGACCATTCCTAGTGGCTTCTTGTATCTTTTTTCCAAAAGCAGCTGAATATCTTTCTGCTGGTGGTTTTGCAGGTGTTGATGCAGACACGGAGTGAAAATGTGCGAGCTAGAATATTGGGCCTCAGAATTGTTAAATATCTTGTGGAGAACTTGAAAGAAGAATATCTAGTATTCCTGGCTGAAACAATCCCCTTCCTTGGTGAACTGCTTGAGGATGTGGAGCTTTCAGTTAAATCTCTTGCCCAGGACATTCTGCAGGAAATGGAGTCTATGAGTGGGGAAAGCCTACGGCAATACCTATGATGAAAAATTAGGAGGGTAATATTTATGCTATTGTTGTATGAGTAAGAGCTACAAATGTGTAATCAAGTATATGGAATATGATATATAGGCCAATGTATATTGTAGTTATTTAAGGGAAAATTGCATTTATTCATTCTGATAAATGTAAAAGTCCAATTGTTCTCTCTCTCTTTTAATTTGTAATTTTTCTTTTACAATAATTAAAAGCGTAAATGCTTTAAAAAAGGAGTATTTGTAACAGTAAAAAAAGTGAGATAATTCTTTTTTTTTTTTCTTGTATTTCATCATACCTTCCTAGAAGAATTTACAGTGAGCATCATATAGCTTCTGCCTTATTGTTTTATTCTTTCTACAATTTTTTTATTTCTTCGTTATCTCTTATTCGTTTCTAGGTCTCAATTCTCTCATTATCTTTAGAAAGTTAGGGACATTTATTACACATTATTTTTCCTTTTTCCTTTAGTCATATTCGTAAAGAGATTTCAAAATTTCAGACAATTTGTACTCATCCGTTTAAATTTGTTTATATATTAAGGTAAATTCGTAAATCAAAGCTTGAATGATTTATTTTACTAGGTGAAGTTTATTTTGGATATGTTGATACTTAATTTGGTGAATATTTTAAGAGTGGTAAATATGTTACCATAAAACGGAACATAATATGAGTTTTGTTATATATTTTATGTGTTTTAAAAGGGATAATTTTGTTTTGACCCACGTGGTTTTAAATTTGTCATTTAGGCAATTGTGATTATAAAAATGTATCATTTAACACCTTATGAAATCTTGTCACCTAGACCTATTGTAATTATAAAAATGTCTTATTTAACCCCTTAAGGTTTTAAAACGTCACGTATATCCATATGGGTATAAAAATGTATCAACTCACCCTCATGGTTTTTTATATATATTATTTTAAATTAAATATTATTTTATTTTATTTATTTTTGTATCTGGTATCATTATAATAGTATGGAAAAAAAAATTTAAAATATTTTTTTTGTAATAAAATAATTTATTTAGCTAATACGTTTTTCATTTATCTTAAATAATATTTTTAATTTAATCTTTAATCATTAATTTTATTAAGATTTTAATTGATAATATTATAATTATATCAAATAAAAGTTAGGAAAAAATAAATATTTTTTTGTAATCATGATAAGTGTAAGTGAAAGTTTGAAACCGTTAAATAATAAACATATTTAACCATAATAGGTGTGAAAGAAAAGTTTAAAACCACAAAGTGTTAAGTGATATACCATTACAATGATGTGAGGTACCTAGAAGACACTTTGACGCTTAGGTCAATATTTGATCAATAAGCTTTAGTAAAGATGGATATGGTGCTCATATTTGGTGTAACACCTCGTTACGTATCGGATGTTATCATTACATATGATATTAAGCGCAGTTACAATCACAATAGTTCAATTAAAAATACAACTAAATTTTTTCTTTTTAAACGTTGCATGTTCCATTTAAAGCCAATACCGTATTTGAAATAACCAAAATTATAATTATAACAAAGTGACATTGCAGAATATTTAAATCTAGCTTAAACGTATTATACAAGTCCTATTAGACACTACCATGAAGTGCTCATACACTATATGGCTTCATTTCACACTTTCAGCAAATTACACTTCTCACTGAGCTCCTAAGCAAGCAAATCGCATTTCCTCTCTGCACTGTTCGCTGAAGCTAGCATTGCAGCGAGCAATTTAATTCCCTAGGCAGTGGCTATTTCCCAGGTGCTCTATTCCTCGCTCACTTGAATGTATCTATATTAACCACAACATAGACAATTCAAAACCAATCATAAAAGTCATGAACTTACCTATACTAATTCAAGTAACCAAATCAAGCTCCATTGGCTCCTCCAATTCTTGATCAATCAAGTGCCCACTTGTTTCCAACCTAGAAACACACATGAACACATTCAATATCCACACATCCAACAGTACTAGAAACACAAGTAATCACAATGCTTATGACATGAAAATCATGTAATGTACCAAAACGATGATCTAAACACCTTTTCACCGATTAAATCATCTCCCAAACATTCTTTTCAACATAAACTAAGCTTAATTCATGCTCCAACACACTAAACGACTCAACATTTCCATGAAACCTTATATTATTCAACCAACAAGAAAAATTGAAGGAAAATGGAGTTTCTTACCATGAGTGCTCTTAGAATCAACCAAGAAGTGTTTTCCAAACTCCCAATGTGATCAAACAACTCCCCATGCTTCACCTTCAAGAGTGGGTAGCCACTTTCACAAGGAAGAATCTCCTCACTGAATGGTTTTCAAAGGAATTTCTTTGATGGATTGTGTTCTTCAAGTGATTCTACACACATTTGAAGTAAGTTGATTCATCCACTCTAGCTCACTTTAGGTTTTTTCTAGGTCATTCCCCTCCCTAAAAATGATTGCCTCGGTTTGTTGGGGAGGATGATACAATGACAAGTCTTATTTCATCCAATTTAAACAAAACACGCGTATGCTCGCCGGGCACCTCGCTTCAGCGAGCTACACCAACGAGCAATTTCAATGTTCGCTGAATAGCTCGCTTCAGCGAGCACATATGCGAGAAGCTACTGACAGTGGTTTCTAACATATTTTTCCCATTTCCTCTCATAAGTATCACTTAATAGTTATTTAATTAAGTATTCTACTTGATTAACCTCTGTTATGGATGATTAAACATTTAATCTGTAATACCTCCATGTGTACCTGGTGTATTAACATACATATGATAATGAGCGCAACATATTTTAAATAAATAATCATGAAAACTTGCTCGCTAATTAACTAATAGCTCTAATATGAAAACGTGAATAAACTTTTTTCTTTTCCTCATGTATTGCAATTCACCAATTAATTCAAATCCAATTAATGTCATATGATACTCTTTTACATATCACGTTCTATTTAAAATAAAATGGTCGACATCTACTTTGTATTTTAAAGGCTTTGGGGATTATTTCCACATAGAAAAGGGTGCCTAATTGACAATTTAATATAATCTAGGCAAAACACGACATATCCACTAGTACAACCTAGAGTCCATACATGGATTCTTACATATTGGACTCAGATAAATATATATGCATAAATCATATTGCCCAGCCATTCATGGCCTAGGCTATCTCATAACTATCAGGTCTCAAAATAATATCCATAATGTTACTTACATGATTACATCAAATAAACAAAAGAGATGTAATTAAATAAGTAACATAGACCAATGCATACTCAATAACAACATATATAAACTATCAAATGACATAGATATCCCCCATGCTCTACAAAAGAATAATATGATATATACATCTCAAAAGATAGTAAAACTAATAAGAATGTCATGTACATATCAAAATGATAGTCAAAATCATGAATATCATGTCAAGTAATATCCCTCTCCCAGCCTCCAGTCGTGCGATGCCTCAGCACCATCAGCTATTGTACCTGAAATGGTGATCCCCATAACGCGGGATGAGATATCATCTCAGTAAACTACGGGTCCTTGGAAGGCTCCTCCACCCCTATGTTTACTTCATGTATAACCATAGTATAAAATCAATGTATGCATGAGAATATGTATATCAATGCATGTGTGCAATAATGAATCCCATGGGCCAGAAAATATAACATGTATGCATTACGCAAGGAAACTCGTCTTGTACTATGCATAAAGAAACATGTCTTATGCCTCGCACACAAACATACATACATATACATGCAATATATAACAGTTCATTTTCAATATACCATATCAAAGAACCATCCTCCCTCGGAGTTTGATGGAACAAATGGGGAATTAACCCCAAGGACCAAAAGTTTACTCGTCAAAGCAATGACCCTTGACGTACTCCTAGTATCCAAGAAATCACAACCTATTTCAGAAATATGAAGACAATTAGTACATATACTAGTCCATTACGTTCCAATAATTTACTATGTTAAACTAGACTTCTTATGCTTTCCAATGACATATTATATGTCTCTATTGTAGTTGTATAACTCAGGTTATGTCTTTCGCAAATCGACTGCTGCAAACTTAATTTTCATAAAGTAGATAGTGAATTTAAACTTAAACTACAATTGATACTTGTCTATTGGCTCTGAACTTTCATAGGGTGATAGCTCTATGTGTTATCTTCGCATCGGTCCAAACCACACTCAATTTGGAGCTTCGTAGCTCAAGATATTCACATTTTACTGTGCTGTCATCATTACCGTTGTAGGGATTCGAATCCTTTTGAAAAGGATTTGAATTCCTCCCTCACAGAAGCTAAATTTCATCATTTTAACAGTGGGGATTTGAGTCCCTCCTGGATAGAGGCCAAAACAACAACATTTTTCTGCATAACTGGTCACTTAACCCCAAAACTCAACTCTCCCATTAACCTAACATGCATTTCTACACATAGTTTCATACTTCAACTCACATACCATCAAATCCATAATTTTCCATACCTTAAGTCATGATATTTTCCAATAAAACACAAGAGGGGTTGTGGTATTTACCTTCGGACTTCAACCCACAAGATTGCAAGAATAACTCAAGTCTTTATCTAAGCAAAACTCCTCTTCCTTGCCCAAATCCAAAAATGAGCTCACAAGGTAGGCTCCTCATTCTTTCACAAACAACTCGCTAAAGGAAAAAATGAAAGGGATGTGATGAAGATGAAGATTGTCAAGTGTTTCCTTTCTTTCCCTAAGCAATTGATGGAGCACAATGGTGGACGAAAATGAAGGTTATCCATAGGTTTAGAGTGAGGGTGTCCGACGGTGAAGAGGGAAATGTGAGGAGATGTGGTGTTTCAAATACACTTAAGTGAGTTGTACTCACCAAGTGGGTATAAACTTATTTATCCTGTTTACTTAACTCTCTTTCAAATTTGACATATTGACTTAAAATATTTTTTGTGGTAATATTCACTATTTTACTTTTAACTTTTGAGTAACTTTGCCTACCTATGTTTTTACCCAATAACTATCAGTATTCACAATTTTTACTAAAAATGTGATTTTAAATTTTGTAAGTAGACTTCTCCTGTAATTAATTCTTCACTAATTATGATCATTTCTTAATAAACTCATAATTTACAAGTTAGGGTCATTATATAATCCATTGTAATTTCACATTTTACAAATTAGGGTTATTATATTCGAGCTTCAAGTCTTTGTTATATAATAGTTGGTCGTCCTGCTTATATCGCCTTAGTATAACAGCATATAGCCCCATTGGTGGGCTCAAGTAGCTTTTGCAGGTATTGTGTGTTCGTGATGCCTATTTGTGGGCCATGTCTCTTATGTATAGCTAGAACCATGTGTATGTCCCTTAGATATTGACTATTAGGGAGGCTGTAGAATCTTGAGCTGCTGATGTCGTAGTTGTACTCCTGGGATATAACCTTAATATGAGATGGATGTGCGTTTTCTTAGTCTTTAAGCATTGCATTGGTTGTTGGGCCTCCTGGGTCATTTATGAGTTGGACTCAATTATCCCGTGTGTGATAAGTGCAGATCACATATGTTTAAAATAAGAAATATAATATTCAAACTTAAGAAAAAATATTGCAAAAAATATCAAGAAATTATTATTGAAGACAAAAATTAGGAAATAAAATTTTAAAATGACTACTCTAACTTGTGCAGTAAATTATATCTTATCTCTTTTATAATTATTTAAAAGAGAAAAGATATATTTATAACATATTTTCGTTTACAACCTCTTACAACCATATCTTAACAGTTGATTTTTGTCAATCAATGTTTATTATTTATTGTGAATTAATACGTTTGATTTGCGAAAATAATAACTGTTGATTGACGAAAATCAACGATTACGATATGATTGTAAGAGGTTGTAAACCAAAATAGGTTGTAAGAATAACCTTCCTCTATTTAAAATTCTAAACATTATTTGGATTAACTTATCCTTCCTACTATTTTGCTGTAAAAAAAATCCTTATTTTATTACATGTAATAAGCTTCAACAAAATTTAACATAGAAATTATTTTATTATATTTGATTATTCTAACACAATTTGCATGTATCTTTCACATAAAACATATACCTTTCAACATGAAATTACCAAGGGGTATATTAAGATTTCTCTATCAACATTACTTGGTCACTACTCTGATATCAAGCAATCAATTCAATTCAAAATGTTAAGTTGTTGAGTGATGTTAAATGAATTAATCATTTTTTATATTTTATATTATATTTTTTAACAAAATCACAAGAAATGATCAATGAGAAAAATATTTGTCCTTTTAAATGATAGTCATTTTAGTTAAAACTAAAATTTTTTATTTAATATTTAAATTAAAAAACCTCTCACTCTCTCCCATAATGATTTATGTTTTTTTTTGGTGAGGATTTATGTTTCTCTTACCACAAAATATAATAATTTTGACTAAAATGACATAATTTTATGTTATTTAAAGGGACAAATACTGATCCTATGATTTCTGTTTCTCTTACCATAAAACACAATAGTTTTGAATAAAATGACACAATTATATGTCTTTTAAAGTTAAAATTTCTCTTATATTATTTATTTTTTATATTAAATTATCATATTATAAAATATCTCATTAGATTAAAATTGCTCATTACATGCACCTTATTTATAAGATCTTAGATTATTTTAGAATTATTTAATACTATATTAGTATATATTAAGATTATCAACATATATATTTTTACAATAATTAAAAGAATTATTTGATTATTACATGTTTGTTTTTATTTTTTTTTTGGTTAAAATTTAACATAATTAATAAAAATAAAAAATAGCTACAATGTAATAATATGATATAAAAAATCAAATTTTATGTAAATTTAATAATTTATTAAGTGAGGTGGGTAACAATATAAAAATTTACACAATATAAATGCAGATTATATATATAAAAAGAGCAATCAAGAAATGTATAAAAAAAGAAAGTTATATTTATAATTTTTTTTCATTTAAAATCTTTTGTCTTAATCGTTGATTTTCGTCAATTAAATGGTTATAATTTATTTAACCATAAACCCAATAATTATATTAAACCCTAAACCCAATAATTATATTGACAAAAATCACAATTAAAATTTGACCGTAAGTTTTTATAAATTAAAAAGAGATTATAAATATATCATTCCTTACCAAAAAAAAAACCCCGCAATCAGGAAACAAATTAGGGATTAGAAAGATCCCAAATTTTTTTGGATCCGGCCCAACCTTTCTTTAAATTTTAGGGTTTCAACATAATCGTTGTTGTATAAATAGGTAAAGCAAGTCATTCCATCACAGTGTTTCATTCCTTTGCCTCCTCTCACAGTTGAATCCTCCTTTACTCAGTATTCATCCAATTCAATTCTTTTTTCTCTTCTTGTTTTTTAGAGATGATTTTGCTCTCTATTTTGTAGTCTTCATGTGCATCAATCAAGTGATGAGAAAAAAACTGCAACAATATGATTGGATTCATTCCATGATTCTATGTATTTAAGTCTCTGATGAAGAAATCTTTTCATCTTATTCGGTTTTAGAATATTTTTTTTTTTTTTTTAAGTATAATAGAAATTTGTTTGAAAGAGACATGATGAGTTTTACATTGGTCCGTGTTTCTGAATTACCGTGACCGACAACTCTTACCAATTTCTGATCTCTTTCTGTAAGCTTTTCTAATTTTTCTTTAAATTGTTTTTTTTTTTTTAATATTTTGGTTGATTTTTTGAATTTTCGGGTAGCAGTGGCTCTATGATTTTCTGCCTTCGTTGCAGTATACGCTATTCCGATTCAAAATTTGAGTAGAGATTTTATTGTATATGAGAGCAATTGCTACCTGTGTTGTTGAACAAGTTTCAATTTATTGTTTTTCAAATTAAAATTGAAAATTGTTGATTTTTTCTTTTTAGGTTTTGATTTGGTACTTGTGGTTCTGCTGTGATGATTTAAGAATCAATATTCACATGTCAGACTTCAGAGATTTTTTTTCTAAATCGATGAGAATGACATTCTTCTTCACTGAGCAGAAATTATAAATTTTATTTATTTATTTATTTTTTAATTTTATAAATGAATAAGGAATTATGACGGGAGATTTCTGAGAAGAGTCTCGATACTTTTTGAGAGCAAACGAATCGGTGTTTGCATAGTTCTCAAGTAACCGTCAGAAATCAATGCTCGCTGGCGTCGACGGCGCCGCCCTTACGGGTGGCATCTCCGCCGGTAGCTGTCTCATATTCCATAGCCTTGTGGAGCGGCGTCGCCGCCTTTACCATTTAGGACTGGCCATGAGACATACATTTTATTTTTTTAATATTTCTGCTTTAATTTGTAAAAGAAAAAAAATGAGATTTTAGAAAATTGATTTTTCAAAATTAAAGAAAAATTCAATTTTTTACCTCTTTATTTCTTTTTAAAATTCATTACACTAGAGACAAATTATTGGCTGATTGATTCTATTATGCTATGTTTGGTACGAGTTTATGAAAAAAAAGTCTAGGAAAGAAGTTTGCATAGGAAATCATATTTCAGTTGATTTTGTGCTCAAATTCAGTGTTTACCATTGATGATTTCGGGTTACCAAAAAATTTTCCTATGAAAAACATAATAATAAAAAATAAAAGGGAATAGGAGAAAATGATTTCAGTTGGGAAAAAGGAGCGAGAATTAAGGATAGATGTTTTTACTATGAGAAAAAAATATTACAGAACTCAGAATTAAACAACCTCGTATTCATTCTGTAATTTGAGCCACTAAAACACACTAAAACAGTGATATCATCTTACTTTCCATCCGTATGACTGCGTCCTTATCTCTTTTATCAAACCCACACTTGTTTCTTTCTTTCTTTGCGCCATCTTTTCTTTTCTTTGAAATTTGAAACCTTCGAGTCGACGATGATTATCAAGAAGCGTCTTCGTGATAAATACGTTGTTGCCAGAGAGAAGCCAAAGAAACGGTTGAAGGTGTTGAAGAGGGTTGCTGGGAAATTCTACTATCCAAATGATAACCCAAAGAAGGGCTTTGTTGATCCAAGAAAAGTGTTGAATGATGCTTTCTTGAATACCAAAGCAAAAGGATCATTTACCGCATCTATTGTTACTCTGAAAGAAGGGGTGTTTCATGGAGTTAATGTGGGTGATATTGGTTTAATGCTGTTTAGAAATAATAGGTTTTTGGTTCAATCACCCATCCAGCAGCACTCTTTCAACACACCATTTCAGTTGGGGAATAGTGAGATTAGTGACAGCCCTGACTCTGCATATGAGTATGAGAATTCAGTAAAGGCAGGGGATATTCTAGTGTTAGGTAGTGATGAACTTTTTGATAATTTGTACGCTGATGATATTGAAGAAATTCTGAGGTGGACAAAAGGAGTATTTGAAGTTAATGATTTGGCTCAGCATATAGCAGACATTGCTCTGTCCTTTTCCAAGTCTAAAGATTTTCGAACCCCTTTTCAGGATCCTTCTGAGAGAGAAGGACGCAGTCATATGGGTGGAAAGAAAGATGATATCACTGTTTTAGTGGCTCAAATTACTGTATGAATACGAGGTTGTTTAATTCTTTTGAGTTTTGTAATATATTTTTCTCATAGTAAAAACATTTGTCCTTAATTCTCGCTCCTTTTTCCCAACTGAAATCGTTTTCTCCTATTCCCTTTTATTTTTTATTATTATGTTTTTCATATGAAGATTTTTTGGTAACCCGAAATCATCAATTTTTTTTTTCTTCTTTTAATTCTCTTACTTGCTTTCCGGTTCTTGCTCTCAGCTTCAAAATCACAAAACTACCTTCGCCCGCGAATTTCACGATATGTGCCTTGTTCCTTAATCAAATCTGGATTCTCTTTTTATCTTTTATTTTTTTGAGACCAAGGAGGTGGAATCTGATCATTGATGCGTTGAGTTTCAAGTCCCTTTAATCTGATCGGAGGAATTTATTTATCAGTAGAAGGTGAGAAATTCATTGTAATTAAATCAATTAGGTTATGATTGATTTCTATTTTGAGAGGTTTCTTTTTTCTTTTCTTTGTTTCCCTCTTCTTCTTCTCTTTATTTTTGGCGCGATTTGGATTACTTCGTTTACTATCACATTATGCGGGGATTACTTTAGGATTTTGTTTTTCAACAATTTTTCTGCTCAGTAAGGTTTTTTTTTTATATTTTTTATTAATTTTTTTAGGGTTGATTCCTTTCACATTTCGAGAAAGTTTGAAATTTGATTGTTAGATTTGGGAAAAGGATTCAATGGAGTCTAGTATTTGTATTGTTTGAGTGAGATCACAGAACAGTGAAACTCTGAAACGCGTATTCAGTGAGAGAGATATGAACTTGTATGTCCAGATATTTGTGTCACAGATCATTGTTTAGAATAGAACCCTTTGTTTCTTTCCAAAATAAAAAAAGTTTTTCTTTTTTTTGTTCTTGGATTTCATCGATATTCCTTAATGAAAAATTTGATTCACCGTTATAAGATCATTACACTAAGAGTGCCATATTCTTTTCAGGCAATAAATTCAGTGTTAAACAAACAAGTACAAGTACATCAGTAATCCTACAATTGATCAATCATTTCAAATTGTTTCCTTTAGTTCATCACTATAGATAATTACCGAGCCATCTAATTACCTAGCCAATCTAATTAACGGGATAGTAATTTTACCTAGCCACTCTCAGTTTTCTACTTTCCTAATTTTCCATAAATACCACATCTCAAGAGATTTTCTTAAACAGTGAATTTGAGCACAAAATCAACTGAAATATGGTTTCCTACGCAAACTTCTTTCCTAGACTTTTTTTTTCATAAACTTGTACCAAACATAGCATTTTGGGATACCTACCCACACTTCCCCATCTATCCCAAAAGAAAACCTCAACCAAACCCACCCTTAGGGATTTTTTAATATTTATAATGTTTATAAATATTCCAAAAAACAATTTATAATGTTTATAAAAAACAATTTACAACCCTACGCACTGTAGTTTATAAAAAACAATTTACGACCCTCCTCCCTTATCCTCAGCTTCTTTATCTTCAGCTTCCTCTTATGCTCCCTCACCACTAATGTTGAGGTTGGGGGGTCCTTCACGGCACGCTACTTTATCGCTGAATATTTTCCCTCGTCAGATCATCCACATATGGAGGTATCGTAAAAGACCCCTCCGGTTTCAATGGATAATTTGTCTCCTCACTGTGCTGAGGGAGTAGAGGACCAGGGTGCGGAGGCCGAGAGAGCGAGGACCATGGAGCTGAAGGATGACTGAATTAAAAAAAACATTCCTCTTTTATATTTATATCAAATGAAAATTTTTACTTTAATACACAAAATTTTGTTATCAAATATTTTATATTAGTTCCTTTGTAGAGATTATTGTGGTTTTTTTTAAATTTTTGAGGGATTATAATTTTTTTTAAGAGATTAAAATAGATTCTGTGATTTTTTATTGAGGATTCAAAAAGGTGTTTATTCTAAAATTAATACAGAATTCTTGTTTATAAAAATTTGCCTTTATATAAAATGAAGGTTATATTTATTATCTTTGTTTTTTACTACCTATTATTATTAAATATTAACTTGATTTTCATCAATTTAATGATTATAATTTATTGGAATTTAATAATTAATTAATAAATGTTATTTAATAAATTATAATTGTTAGATTGTAAATTATAAGGGTTTTATAATTCTCATGTTGAAGGAGAATTGAAATCTCATGTTGTAGAGATAAAAAGCATGTGGGACCCATGTGTTAGAAAAAATTATATGTAGGATCCATGTCAGCACGGAAATCGAAGGGTGTGTAAGAAAATTATAATTCTCATGTTAAATGAGAATTATAAAATCCAAATTATAATCGATTAGATTGACGAAAATCTGTTAAGATTTGGTTGTAAGAAAGAAAAAAAGTAATAAGTATAACCTCCTCCTTATATAACGGTGGGAAATCATAAATATGAAGATAGAAATAAATATAATTGTTGGATCAACATAATTGTTGACCTAAGGGCCTGTTTGGTGTGACATATAAGACATGATAGTATAAGCTTATACTATACGTTACGACATTTTCAGTTGTTTGGTGTGACCATCGTATAGTATAAGCTTATACAACATAATCCCTTAATACATCAAAACAATATAACTTAATTCGGCCTAAGAATGAGGGATAAAGTCTGATAAGATATTGTTGTAGACTATTTATATTTTGTATTAAAAATGAGGGATATATTGTTTTAATATTAATCTATTGAAATAAAAATTAATTTTTCAATATATTAATTTTTAAAATATTGAATATTTTTATTTTTTTAAAAATTAAATTTATATTTTGAACACATTGATCAATAAATTTTTATAAAAATTAATATCATATGACATTTTTGAAGAATTATATAACTTCTTTATTAAAGGATATTTTTATTAAAAATATTTATTTTTATCATATATCGTATTATACAGTGCATTACCAAATATTAGATGATATTATCTTGTACAATATATTATTTTATACAATACCGTGCCAAACGTTGTATAGTATTAAAATTCAATCAGGTCTTATACAATCAGACCTTATACTATCAGGTCTTATACTATCAGGTCTTATTCTATATATACTATACACCAAACATGCCCTAATAGTGAGTTTGATTGATAGTAACTCTAATTGATTGTTATAATATTCTTCCCTAAATAAATATCAAAATAATAAAGTTCATGATTATGGATTATATAAATTTAAATAAATTCTTGAATTATACTTAAATATTTTATCTGGATAAACTACAATAAGCCCGCAAAGGGTTAAAGCCCAAGAATAGGCCCAAATACATATAGGGCCCATGAAATGCACAATATCGTCATCGCACAAAGGACCAGAAAGCGTAATAACCTTATTGCGTCTAAATTGCCTTATATGACTTAAAAGCTAAGGAAGGACTCTATGACAGACAAAGATCTACCGTGCCATAAGCCAATACACTAAAGAAAACTCCACCTTCCCACCATTCTAAGATGGTAGCCTAACATGTAGATGTTTAGCCAGAAAGACACCAGCTGAGAACAGATAAGCCTGCAGCCCATAAACAATCAATTAGAAGACATATCGCCTACCAAAGGTGACGTCAGACTTACTAAATAAACAAAGGGTACATACGCCCATAAACAGTCAATCAGAAGACATATCGCCTACCAAAGGCAGCGTCAGACTTACTATTTAAACGAAGGGTACATATGCAGGTATGATCATCTAATTCCAGTAAGTATACAATATTAGCTTAGCATTGATACTGACTTGAGCATCAGAGTGTCATTGTAGGTACACCTAGCCAGAGCCATCGGGCCAAAGAAGTTCCACATTAGTTAACCACAAATCAGACGTCAACAGCCCACAAAGCACTTACCCATTCCAAAAGTCTTCACTCATCAACCGTGTGTGATTAGACCCAACCCATATTGTACGGGACTAATCAATATTTAATCATAATAAAGTGTACATTTTGACAAAAAATAAATATAAAAATAGGAGCTTAAAGTAATAAGTTCTAGTAAAAAGGAGTTTTGTTCAACGCTCGTTAAGTCTACTTTAAAAATATAATTTTGTATATTAATATAGGTTTTAATGTTTCTATAGTGAATGTAATTAAGTTATTTATATTCATTCTTAAAATGATGTGGTTTTGTGTCGAAAAATTAAAAAATTATAATTAAAAAGACTATTATAACCTTGAAATAAATTATAATTACAAAAATACCTTGATTTCTGTCCCAAAACGACGTCATTTTAGGCTCAATGTAGATAACTTATCTACATTGACTGTAGAAAAAATGAACCAATTAATATAATAAAGGGAAAAGACAAACCCATTAATATAATAAAGGGAAAACTATTTTGTGCTTTTAAAATGATGTAAGTTGTGTTCTTTTAGTTTTTTTACTCTATTATGTACTTCCGATCAATGCTGTGAAAACCGAACCGGACTGGCCGGGTTGGTCCGGAACCTGATGAACCGGTCATTTGAGTGGTCCGGTTATCATAATGGATCGGTCAAGTATCAGACCCGGTACGACCCGGTGCGACCTGACCGGTTTTGGTGAAAAACCAGTGACCCAGCCAGGGTTTTTTTTTTTAAAAAATATTTTCAAAAAAAAAAGTTTTCCAAAAAAGAAAATCATAATTGACATATTTGAGTGATCTGTTACTTATTGACTTACATAAGTTATATACCTACAATATTAATATTATCTCAGTTATGTACTATGCAGGAAATTTTGATTTGATAGTTAGAGATGTCATTTACCGAACTTGAGACACCAATATAACAAGTATTATGTGTTTGTTTGATCCTTTATTCGACAATAATGTATAATTTATTATTTTTTATATTAAGATATTTAGAATTTATATTATTTTTTTCAGTTATTTGATTATATTTATAATTTTTTAATATAAATTATAGATTTATATATAATCACCGGGTTATGCGGTTAAACCAGTGACCCACTGGTTAAACCAGTGACCCGGTATCTCGATCGGATCATTGACCG